CTTATAAGATTATGGACAACTTAGTTGATTTGCCTTTTTCTGAGTTTTTTACTCTTGCTCCTACTTATTATTCGACTCGATGTCATTACCAAAAATTAACATCACCTAAAAATATCACCTTACATCAATGATATAAGGAGATTTTTTTTCAGTGAAGGAGTTACTAAGATATGGAATTCTTTACCTGATTATTTGGTGTATGTCTCTATTTAAATCGAATTTAAAAACATACAATATTCAGACACTGTTTATTGTTTTAAACATGGTATTACATAAAAGTAATTCTCCAATTACCTGTATCACCTTTTTGCATTTTTATTTAAATGCAAATAAATTGAAATAATAATAATAAAATATAATAAATTCGAAATGACAAAATTATAAAACAGGCACTTTTTTTATCAACTAAAAAAAAATGAAATCATAGTATTAGTGAGGTTAAAAAATACATAATAAATTTTTTTACTCAGTAACACATATGATTACAAATGTAGAGAAGTAGAATACTTTAGAAAAAAATACTGAAGTAAAATAAAAATACACATTTAAAAAAATACTTAAAAGTAGAAATTTACAAAATAACTACTTAATTACAGTAACGTGAGTAAATGTAATTCGTTACTTTTTACCTCTGGTAATAACCAATAAATATTCAAAAATTTTTATTCAAGTATAACTTTATAAATAAAAGAACAAGCTTTAAATTGCACCATTATTTTTCTTTTTGCTTAAAAATTCCCTTTTACACAATATTTAGAAAAATTATAGCTGGTCCTAATGTGATGGCCAACCACTGTAGTAGTACCTTTTGATGTACATTTAAACTTTTTACAGTTTTTAAAAAACATGAGTAAACAGATATTTTAAAAAAAAAATAACTTTTAAAAATTGCTTGTGCCATTTATTTTTTTGCCTACTTTTTATATATATGTATATATATGTATATATATATATATATATATATATATATATATATATATATATATATATATATATATATATATATATATATATATATATATATATATAATATTTTATAAAATGTTAGCGTGTTTAACAAATTTACTACAAACAAATGTAGAAGAAAAGTTAAATTTCAAAAAAACAAACTATAAACTGAAAATAGAAAATAAAAAGTAAAAAAAAACAATTTATAAAAATTAAAATCTTAAAAAATAAACCAGAAAAAATAAAAGTATAAAGTAAATTTATAAAAATTAAAATCTTAAAAAATAAACCAGAAAAAATAAAAGTATAAAGTAAATATATATTTTTATTTTATTTAAAAGTCTTTCACTTCAAAGAATTTAGAAAAAATCAAAGTTAAAAGTTTCAAAGTTATTTAATCCAAGTTTAATTTTATAGTTTATTTTAAACTTAATATGTAAAAATTTAAAAATTTTTATTTTTTCAAATGTCTACAAAGCAAATAAAACATAAAAAAAAATTATCAGTTAATAGGAATGAACCCTCGGGGTGACAAACAATTAACGATTAATCAATTAATAAAAATTAATCATTGATCAATTAATTAAGAAACGATTAATCAAATAATTTTTTGCTTAAAAGTGCTATAATTGTTTTAGTTTTTTTTAATTAACATTTTGTTGTTATGACAAAATATCATTTTTTAAAAACAATAACAACTGTTTTCACTTTTCCGGTACCAGTAAAAAAATGTAAACAAATAATAAAATTGGGTCGTAGAAAAGCCTAAATGCCATTTACAATGTCATCTGGAAAAAGTTGTTTTGATGTTTGGAAGCATTTTTCATTTGAAAACAAAGCGAAATCATTGTGCAAATGCAAGCATCGTTCAGTTGAAATTAAATTCCATTCATCGACTTCAAGTTTCTTATATCATTTAGAGCACAAACATAAAATATTTCCGACCAAAATTGTTTCAGAAAAAACAAAAAATACACAGCCAATGTTGCTCCCTACTGTAATAAAACAGGTAACAAAGCTGAAGAAGTATTAGCTCATTTAACAGCTGTAGATCATATTTCTTTTGTAACTTTTGTAACAGATATTAAAAAGGCTGGATAGCTCAAGACTTAAAATCCTTGATGATCGACATGGTATAAAAGCAACTGTTATGAACAACACAAACTCAATAAAATTAAAAATTGCTCAAGAGCTTCACCAAAAATATATCTGGAGAAAGGTTTTCAATTTCTCTTGATGAGTGGACTTAAGGAGGAACTAGAAGGTATTTGTGTCATAATGTACATTGTTCAGGCAAATTTTATTGTTTCTTAAAATAATAAAATTTGCCTGAACAATGTCTCGGAATGATTAGAATAAATCATGTCTTGGAACGATTAGAATAAATGCCTTCAAAAAGAGCATTTAATATTGTTATTGAAAAGTTAAATGATTTTGGCTTAAATTTGGTCAATGATATCTTTGGGTGTGTTTCTGATGGTGCATATGTCATGAAAAAAATTAGAGGAGAAATGGGAGTTACCTACCAACTTTGCTATTGCCATGGAATTGATCTTGCGGTATGTGATATTCTTTATAAGAAAAAAGTTTCAGTAACAGAAACAACTGGAGAAGAACTAATTATGGAAGAGCTAAATGAAAATGAAGAACCTTGTTCCGACCCCGATGATGAAAATAAAGAATGCTGGAATGAGGAAAGTTTTGTTAATAAGGAAATGCAATTTAATGAGGACTATAGTATTATTATATCAAAGGTTCATAAAATTGTCTAGCTGTTTAGAAAATCACCACTTAAAATGATCCATTCTTAAAATGATCATTAAAATGATACCATTCAAAACATTTGTAGATCAGAATTAGGAAAAGAGCTTAGGCCAGGATACTAAAGCAAGAAAAATTTTCTAATCTTTTTTATTTTTTTTTATTTTAATTCACCTCCTCAAGGCCGAGAAGGCCACTACAGACGAGGAGGCTACTTATTTGTTGCTATAACCCTCTCTCAACTCTATAACTCTGAAACACGAACCTTGATGAACAAGGCCACTGCGCAGAGAAACGAGTTGAGCGCGGTACTACCAGGGATGTGGTGGGGATCGAACTCGGAACCACTCGTTTATGAAGCGAGCGCTCTACCACTACACCACTACCGCATAATGTCAGTATGTTAAAAAGGAGACTGTTATTGGAAAAGCTCTTGTAGATATATTCAGTACAGATTTGATTTTATTAGAAAAAGAAATAAAACACATTTCTGATATTGTTCAGGTTCTTCATGTTATAGATTTAAATGTGATGGCATTGGGAAAAGGAGACTGTGATCTAATCAAATCTGATAAAAATATTTTGTTTTTACTACAAAATACTAAGATTGGTTGAAAGTTATTAAATGTCTCTGAAAGAATTATGTTATTGCTGGTTTACTATGCTACTTGCATATATTAGATTCAGAGTTACCAGGTAATCTTTTAAAATATCCAAATAAAAATGAAGTTGCTAAATTAGCTTGAGATATTTTTATATGTTTGTTTCTACATGTGGAAGTAGAAGCAGCACCTTAGTCTGATATTAAATCTACTTGTAATGTAGAACCAATAAGAAAAAAAACTAAAACTGAAAAACCAATAAAAAAAAAAAAAACTAAAACTGAAGAATTGGCAGAAATGATATCAAATATAACTTCAACAACAGTAAGAAATAAAGGACTAACTTATGATCTGATGAAAAAAAGAGAAATAAAAACATAAGAAGTTGTTTTTTAAACTGTAAAAATTTATTTGTAAAAATTAATTAAAATTAATAAATTAATTTTTCGAAAGGTAATTGTTAATTGATTAGTAACTAATCAATTAACAATTAACTTTTGAAAATTAATCTATTAATTTCGTATTTCAAACTGTTTGAAATACTGATTAATCTTATATTGTAAGCTTATATTGTAACTTATATTATAAGCTAATATTGTAACAAAAAAAAAATTTTTTTCTTCCTTAAATTCAAACAAAATTTCAGGAAAATAAAATATTTTTTTTTGTTACAATATCAGCCTTCATATCACTGTCCTAATATATTTTGTAAACTTTAGTATATATATATATACACACATATATAAATATATATATATATATATATATATATATATATATATATATATATATATATATATATATATATATATATATATATATATATATATATATATATAAATTAAATTAAAAATGAAAAAGAAAAAACTTTTATTATGGAACTTTAAGTTTTATGCCTAACGACAATCATCAGCCATATATTACACAATTAAAAATTAAACGTTAAAATTGCAATTAGAATTATCGTGGCGTGAGTTCTAATAACTCCATGGAAACAAAATTTTAAAAGTTTTAATAGTATAACCAACCATGATAAATCTTCAGTATTAAATGAGGAAATAAGGAATTTATTTATGTGCCTACACTTTGAGATTATTTCACTCCTTGTATTAAGTAGGCTATCTCCTTTATACATAAAAATTTGAGACTTCGTGTTCAAACAGAGGTTGCAAACTCTTGATGCTGGGTTGTATGGTTTGGATTGTTTAACAATCTTCCAACTGACAAAAGGTGTAAAGTTTTTTTCTTTTTTTTTTCCATACTTCTTTAGATAACTCTGGATCGTTCTTATATCTAATTGCATTAAAGGATTTTAAGCGGTTTGCATACCGAAATTTAAAAGATGTTTTGCTGAGTCTAAAATATACTTTTTCTTTGTATTACTAATTGTTTGAATAAATGGTGGCCTGATAAACAATGTTGTTGGAAAGGCAATGGTTATTCATTGGACATTTGGATTTATCAATGCAGTTACATTTCATTTCATTAATTTTTGCCTCCTTATGTAAAATGCTTTTATTGTGAGAGTTGATAATGGATTTTATGTTTGGCATGCAGGAATAACTTATTTTGATTGTGTTTCTATTAAATATTTTATGAAGTCTGTGGTTAACATATATATATATATATATATATATATATATATATATATATATATAACCTTTTATTGCATAAAATATTATTTTAAAGAGAAAATTATATGGAAGCTACTGTTCGTGTTCCTGGCAGAGAAAATGAGGTATATATTTTTTAAATTTTAGTTTTGTAAGTTACAAAGTTACCAAATTATGTTAAAAACTAACATTTACACATATCATCATTATATTAATTAATGTGTCATCATATCTATCTATACATCATTATACCTATCAACCCATTTTTATGTCTATCAATATATCATCATATCCATCAAAACATCTTTATCTCTATCAATACATCATTACTTTTGGTAATCACCAAAATTTTATTTTTTAAACTTAAAAAGTCTCTTTTTAAATTTAAAAACAATTTTGACAACTAATAATTGCATATTGTCATATTTGCTTTGCATTTACTATTTGTCTAGCTTCTTAAATATAGCTGCACTGTTAATTGTAAAAACAACTATGTATATCAGGCTTGGACAGGAATGGCGTGCGATCGAGCGCTATTGTTGACCACGCAAATTATTTTATTTTTAGACAACTTGACCACTATTGTTTATATGACAAACATTCCAGAAATGCGCTGAATGTAGAAACACGAAGCCAAAATTAAACTTGGAAAAAAAGTTTATAAAAACAAAAAAAGAAAGGAAAAAAAAAAACTATTACGAAAAAGAAATTATATAAGCACAAAAGTAAAAATAAAAAATTAAACTCGAAACATTTTGTTACGTATTTAATTATGTTTGAAATAAATGTTATTAATACTTATTTTTTTAAACATTTTATTAAAGTTACGCAAAACGCTTTTAAATCAAGTAACAAATTACTTCCAATGATTGTTTATTAAATGGTCAAATTTTATCAAATTTGTTAAAAAGTGTGGTATATAATATTTTTAAATAGTATCAACATTTATTTTTTCAAAAAAAGTGTAACAACAAAAAAAAACTGTTTAAAAAAATATTGTAGTTTTTTTAAAATAGTAATTTTTATTAATTTCATACTCTAATTAATGAGTTTAGTTAAGAATAGGTTTTAACTTTTTTACTCGTTAAAATAGGGAGAGAAAAAAAAATGCGCCTGGGATTTAATTAAAATAAATTGTCAACAAGCAATTTAATTTCATTTTAATTACAACTTTATTAATAAGCACTTCATGAAATAAATTTAAAAGTTATTATTAAAGATTAAAACTCATTCATTCCTTTCGTAAAAAAAAAAAAAAAAAACTTTCAAAAAATATGTTTTTTAAAAGATTTTTATTAACTAATATTAAAATTTTTATATAACATTTTTTATTAAGTAACATGCATTTATGTAAACAATCATTATATTAATTTTATGGATTTATTTAAAGCCTTCGCGTAAAATAAAAACTTTAGAAAAGATCAATGATTAAAAGTTATTCATAACCTAATACTTTTTTTATTGCATTTAAATTAATATAACATCAAAATAGCCATGGTCAAGTTGTAAAGAAAAACAATATTAGTGTGGTCAGCTACAGAGTGCGATCACATGCCATTCCTGTCCAAGTATATGTTTTTTGGTTTAGAAGTAAAAAACATATACATTCCTGTATATGTTTTTTACTTTTAAACCAAGTTTGAGTAATTTTGCTTCCACTGACTTTTTTAACTTTCATCCACACAAATATTTTTCTGCTGGAAACTACTTCGCCCTAAAAAAGGAAATGGAAACTGGAAACTACTTCTCCTCTCTTTTCCTGTTTAAAAAAATATTAGAAATTTTTTATTTATTCAGATTTTCTTGCAAGGCTTAAAAAATTTAAATCGTGCAATTCAAGATGATATTGTTGCAGTGGAAATGTTGCCTGAAAATGAATGGGTATCTCCATCGTCTCTTATTCTTGAAGAAAAAGATGAAGAGCTAGATGAGGAAGTACAAGATAAAAAGGTTATATATTAAAGTTATTTTTTTAACATAACTTTTTCAAACTATCAATTGATTTAATAGAAAGATTTTAGATATTATTTATTAAACTAATGTTGTAACATTGTATGCAATGATGCAACTAGAATCTTCTAAGTTTAAATTAGATAAAAATGTATTCAGTGAAGAACCCAGACGTGTTTTAGTACCGTTTTACCGGTATTTTGATTTTTAATTTTTCTTTTGATTTTTTATGAAAAATAGAAAAAAAAGAAATAGTTTTAAATGCAGTAGTATATAAATAATTCTCATTTTAATTTAGCTACCTTATTTTTTCTTCAGGAAAATAAAAAGAATTGAAAAGAAATTGCTTTTTCACATAACTATGTGACGTAATTTGCCTTCCATTATTAGCTGGACATAACTTTTTAAAAAATGAAGTTGTTACAAAACTTAATTTTAAAACCACGTTGCAAAATTTTGTAATATTATGATGTGTAAAAGCTTTTTTGAAAGTTAAAACGTTTTTAAATATCCATTCAGCGTAAGATTAATTTTTGTTTTTGGCAATTAAGTGTAATCTGCTTTTGATAATAAATGAACAAAAGTAAAAATCATCAGTCTTTTTAACTATCGCGCAAGTTTAATTTTTAAATGAATGAACTTTTGATCTTAAGGTTGCTATTTTAGTTTACAAGAGGAAAACAAAAAATTGAAGTATAAACTTTTTCAGACTTTTTTCCTTTCAATATTCTTTTTAAAATTATAAAAAAAAAAGTTTCAATAACTTAATAAAGGTTTTATTTAGATCTGTTTAAAACCCATAGTAAATGTAATTTATTTATTCAAATGTAATTTTTTAAATTATTCCTAATAATTAAAAAAATATATTTTTAAAATATGTTTTTAAAAATATAATATGGTTTTTAATCAAAATAATAGAATATTTTTAAAATTATGTTCACTGTAATTATCTCTTTAATTATCTTTAATTTAAAAGGAGCCTTTAAATCACTTTAAAAATTATAACTTTTAGTAAAAGTAAAATGAACAGATTTACTAATATTTAAATCAGAATTTTAAATTAAAAATAATAGAAAATAAGTTTATTAAATGCTTATGTTTTTATTCGAATAGTTTATTAAATGCGTTTATTAAATGCTTATCGAATTTGTTTATTAAATGTTTATGTTTTTAATTCAAATACAAGGCGTAAAACTAATTTGTTAATTTTACAAATATTACGAGATATAATATATGTAAATATATTATGTAATGTAAATATTGATTACAAATTGTTTAAAATATTTTTAATTATTATTTTAAATTAAACTTACTAAAATATAATTAATAACTGCTTAAAATACTTTAAACAATTTTCAATAATTATTTACTGATAGCGTGGTATATGCAACAAAAGCGTTTATTAAAATCTTAAGTAAAATAGTTTTCTTTTAACTAAAGTAACTTAGTCCACCAGTATATTCATGTATTCAAAAAATGCCTTTAAATCAACACCTTATTATAGAATAAAACTGAACAAGATAAACATAAATGATTATTAAGAAAATGATGATTAAAAGTTATTGTTGCGGCACTCGTTTAACTAGAGGAGAATGAGGGGGAAGGGGAAATCAAAAACACGGTTCTCTTTCCCCCCTCCCCCCACCCCCTCCTCAACGTTGCTGAAAAAATAAACTCTGGGTTCTTCACTGGTATTGTAGATTAGATGAAAATGTATATATCTGGAACAAATTGTATTTTTTGTCTCAAATTTTCCTGTTCAGCAACAAATTATTTTCTTTCATTGTTGGATAGCAACTAAAAGATATCAAAGGAGTGTTTTACATCCAGTAAAACACTCCTTTGATGGTGTTTCATAGTAGTGGAATATGTTTCATAGTTGTGAAATAAGTTTCATAGTAGTGGAATATGTTTCACAGTAGTGGAATATGTTTCATAGTAGTGGAATATGTTTCATAGTTGTGGAATATGTTTCATAGTTGTGGAATATGTTTCATAGTTGTGGAATATGTTTCATAGTTGTGGAATATGTTTCATAGTTGTGGAATATATTTTAAGAGTTTGAAAAAATTTTGAAAAAATATCATCGATTGTAATTTTAAATGATTAAATCCCTAAGGTTATTGAGCTAATTTTAAATGATAGAATGGTGGAGTCATTCTTTATCTTTTTGAAATAATAGAAATGGTTTTCAAGACTGAACACTTTTTGATGTTTCTTTTGATTAAATTGAGCAAGCTCTTTTTCTTTATTTATCTTTCAATGTGGTTATTGTTAGACTAAAATTCTTGTCACACTAAGTGGCTTGGCATTAACACTAAGTGGCTTGGCATTACCACTGACTCTAATGGAACTAAGTTTTAAAGTTAAAAACTTTTGTTAAAAACTAAGTTTAAAAGTTAAAAACTTTTGTCTTTCTTAATCTCTTACCTGGTTAGTTATCTACCTTGTGACTTGTTTTCTGGATAACCAAGTCACTTTCTTATACTTTTTGGTTTGTGTCTTGTCTCCGACCCTAGCTTGTGCTCAGTTTCATTATTAAAAAGACATCAATACAGGCCTTCGCGTAAGAGGCGTGCAATCGCACGCCAGATATGACCAAGCATATAGTTCTTTGTTTTAACAACTTGACCACGTCTCTTTGCAAGTTTTGATAATAAGCGCGTTTAAAAAAACAATTAATTTCAGAGACTTTTAAAAATAAATGCCAAAACATAATTGCTTTTTTCAATAGCATTAGGGGCCATCCATAAATGATGCCAGAAAATATAGGAGGGGAGGGGGTACTAACAAGATTGACCAAAATTGACTATGGGGGGGGGGGGTGTAGACCAAAAGAATTAAAGTTTATATGAGCAGATTTTAAAGGTATTTATATCTACTATGTGGTATAGAAATGGTATATTTGCTTTGTGGGGAATTCGATGTAAGTTTCCCAGAGACATTAAATATATTAAAAATTTACCAACTTTTTATTATTATATTTCTATTTGACTGAAAATCTAATTGTTTACAAATGTCAACAATATGTATATAAATTTAGCAATCGTTATTTGCTCCCTAGCGGAATATAAAATGTGCTTCAAAGCAAAGTCAATTGTCATTATTTCAAATACAATTATCATTATTATTGAAGATCACTTCAACAACCCATGGGAAAATGATGAGTGATTGAATTTATATTATAGATATAGAATAAAATTTTGATTAGTTTGTTTATTATTTGATGAGGTATTAACTTTTCTGTAATATAACTTGCTGAGATCTACTACTATATAAATGTATAATTTAACCAGAAAAAAATCAATGGTTTTTTTCCGGTTAAATTATACATTTTTTTAATGTTAATTTAGGAGGCGGGGGGAGGGGGTTTCTCAAAAAAATTGAGAAAAATCTTTGACATCATTTATGGACAGTCCCTTACTTTTAAGTAAAATAACCAAGTACGCTATAGAAGAAAGTAATTATGTTTTAGCATGGTTTTTGCATGCGCTCACAAAAGCATGCAAAATTTTACTTAAATGAATGCTTTTGCAAAAACTTCAAAAGAAACCGTGCTTAAACATTTTGATTGCTTTCTTTTATTGAAGATCATAATGTTTAAGCATGGTTTCTTTTCTGTAATTAGCAATTACATTGAAAGTTTAAAGCAAATAAATTCATTATAAATTTATATTACAAATAACATTTTGCGCGCTTTTTTTTTTCAATTTTCTTATTTTCCTTAAAGTGAAGTAGTGTTTGTTTGCATATTAAAAACACTTTAAAAAGTTTTTTTTATCGTGCATTAATTTATGCACACTTTGCAAATGTTTAAAAAAATTATTTTTTGAAAAATAAAAATAAAATAAATTTACCAAGCATCTTTGATGTATTTAATAACTTATTAACTAGAATAAAAATTATTTGAAAATAAAACTCCCTTATTTGATATAAATCTCTTAAATTAGACGTTCGTCTATGAATAAAGATATTCAAGTCAACGTTCATTAAAAAAAAAAGCTATGTCGCGCTCTGGGATAGTTAAAAAATAGTTGCCAGAAGCGATTGTTTCAAGATTATTGTAATTCTTTTTTTTAATAATTTTTTTTGATAGCTTCTGTACTCATTTTGTTTAAAACTCTAATCTGATTGTTTTTTTCAATGATTGCCTTTTATTAAATTGCAATAAAGTACTAAGGAAATTTTGTAGCAGTTTAATTGTAATTATGGAATCAATTAAATTAAAAATCGCATTTACATTTGCTTTGTTTTTTTTTTTGTCGCATTTTTTAAAAGTGCTAATTGTCAAAACTTGCAAAGACAACTTGCCGTGGCCAAGTTGTCAAAAGAAAGTATTATATGCATGGTCATATAAGGCGTGCGACTACAGGCCTCTTACGCGAAGGCCTGTCAATATCACTCAAATTTTAGTTGCTAAATCTATTTTTCACCTAAACCTTTTTACAGCTTGTGGTCTTGACATTTTTCCTGCTACAGTTTTACAAAAGTGTTCTCAAAAGTTTATTTCAATGCTCTCTAAACTATTTAACAAGTCTGCCTGTTATATGTTTCTGGGAGATTTTTAAAAATCTTTTGCTGCTGATTTCCCATGCAAGCCATATTAGCATGCAGTAGTAGGCTAGTGGTAAAACTGTTTCTCAGCTTTTTAAACTTTTTTTTGTTTGGTTTGTAATTTGGAATTTAAAATTAAGAGAGTTTCAAATAAAATTAAAAATAAGATAAAATAAACGGGTGGCCTCCTTAATTGTTGTGCCCCCCTCTTATCTATCCTTGTATGGAATACTGTCATCATACTTAGGCTGGTTCATCCTATGATGCATTTTCTCTTTTCAACATTGTTCAAAAATGCATATATATATAGTTAGGCTTATTCTAGCTGCCAAGCTTGCGCCTCTGTCTGATCCTTGTAAGGTTGTATCTTTTTATCTTTTCTATAAATACTACCATGAATGTTGTTCAAGCTAGCTAGCAGCTTATGTGCCACCAACCAAACATTTGTATGACTTGTCCATTTTTTAGCAAATTTGCATCAATTTACTGTAGCTGTTTCTTCATGTTCAAATTATTTTTATTTATCTATATTTTTCTTTAAATATCATTTTCATGTTTTCCTGACTCTACAATTTACAGTTTTTTAAGTTTTTTTTGTAATTTTTTTACTTTTTCTCTTTTTTACATTCCAATAACTCTCAACATAGTAAATGTGTTAAAAGGTAAATACTATAAAATGTATTACCTTTTTAAGTTCATAAGTTAAAAAGCTATTATATAAAATAGTTTATTAAATAAAATAAAATTTTTGTTTAATTATCAAATTTTTGTTTTACTTTTTTTATTTTTTTATTTTTTGTATTATTGTTATATTATTTTTTATTATATTATATCTACTTTTTATATAATATAGATATTTGCTATTAGATGTGCATGTATTACTATTATTTTATATATTACTATTTTTTTAAACTGATGACAAGATATTTTATTTAAAAAAAGTTTAAACATTTTTTTTGAGTATTGTACAATCTGTTAAAAAATCTTTCTTGATCATTAGATTGAAGACGAACTGAAAAAACAAGTCAAAAAACACATCAAAGAAACAGGAAAGGTAATTTAAATGTCTTTTTTGTTTTATTCAAGTATGTTGGACTAGTGAATAGAAAATAAAAGCATACTGTAAGTTAACAGCAAGTTAATGGGAGACTTGTTTTAAGAGGCAATAAAAGTCCAAAATTAAGTAAGTTTTTCATGAGGCCCTGAGCTTTTTTATTTTAATTTAAACAAGCCCTAAATATTTTTTTATTCATAACTTTATGCACCCATGTTCGAGTGGGAGTGGGAGTTCATCCATGATCATAGACACTAATTTTGAGTTAATAACATTTTAAATTATATATTGTATATATAAATATATATATCTTATACATGCCGGCGCCTAAAAAGGGTAGGCTGGATGGTCATTTTTAGGCTGGTGTGCACAATTTTAAAATTTTATTTTAATTTGCCATTTAAATAGAAAAAAGAAACAAAAAAAGGCAAACAATTTACATTAGATAAAGTTTAACTAAAATAGTTAAAATAAAACTGTAAAACAAATATTTTTTGAGTTCTTATCAAGAGATAAAAATAAAAACAGCAAAAATAATGTTTTGTTTTAATTCTAGATAAAATAATTATTATGAAAACGGCATAAAAACAAAAAGTTTTATTTGAATTTTTTATAAATTAATAAAAATAAAAACAGCAAAAAAATGTTTTGTTTTAATTCTAGATAAAATAATTATTATGAAAACGGCTTAAAACCAAAAAGTTTTATTTAAATTTTCTTATTAATTAACTTAAATTTCATTTAAGTTATAAATAAAATAAATAATATAAAAATGGGAAAACAAAAATTTTATTTATTATTTATATTATTTATTTAAGTTATAACTAAAATAAATAATATAAAAACAGGAAAACAAAAATTTTATTATTTGTATTATTTATTTTATTTAAATTATAAATAAAATAAATAATATAAAAACGGGAAAACAAAAATTTTATTTATTATTTATATTATTTATTTTATTTAAGTTATAAATAAAATAAATAATATAAAAATGGGAAAACAAAAATTTTATTTATTATTACCTGCGGTTTCTCGATGGCTCAAGCTTCAACAACAGTATCTTATTAAGAATTGTATGCATATTATATGTTATACTATATTAATTTCCAGGTTGTGGGGATTATAAAAAGAAATTGGAGACCTTACTGTGGTATGTTATCACCGAATGGAAATATAAAAGTAAGTTATTATTTTACAATAAATAAAATTTTACATATTTATAACTTATTTAACATAATTATAATTTCTATTTAAGGGTTTAAAACATATGTTTATAGCTGCAAATAGACAAATTCCTCGCATTATGGTTGAATCAAGACAAGGGGAGCTTCTTCAACAAAAGAAAATAATTGTTAGCATAGATTGCTGGCCTAGAAATTCAAGATATCCATTGGTAATGCTATTTTTTAATGTTATTGATTTTATCTTTATTTTAGATTATAACAATTACTTCTTTATACATATTTTTATTTTGTACTTTTTTTTTGATAACAATATTTACTATATTTGTTATTCAAAATTTTTTTGCTAGATTACAAAAACATATTACTATATAATATCCTTATTAAAAAAAATATTATCCTTATTAAGAAATATAATATCCTTATTCAGAAATATAATATCCTTATTCAGAAATTTTTATGTTTAGGGACATTATGTTAGAGATTTAGGTGAGAGTGGAAATAAAGCAACAGAAAAAGAAGTCTTGCTTCTAGAACATGATGTACCTCATCAACCTTTTTCACAACATGTTTTGGATGATCTTCCTAAGTTGCCATGGTGTATAACAGAACAGGTTAAATTTTTAAAATAGAGTGGAATAAAAAAATTAATTTTTATATAATTGTATCTGATGGCAATGATGATCATATTTATGGTTATATTTTTATGATTCGCTTGGAGAAAAAAATTGCAAGAGCAATGAAAAGTCTAAAAAGGCGGACTAGTTGCTCATCCTTTGTGTGCGATATCAACATTTGCACAAAATGTTTTGATATTTTGATAAGTTTTGATAAACAAAATAACAAAAAGGAGAAATTAATATGATTTTGATGAATGATGAGAAAATGGGTTTTTTATCACTGTTTAAATTTCTTGCGCTCAGTTTCAGATTTGTTTTTGTTTTTGTTAGTTTGTATGCTCTGTCTTTATTCCAGTTTGTTTCTATAATCTGTCTTTATTCCAGTTTGTTTCTATACTCAAGAAATATTTTTTAACAGATAGTACAAAATTCAAAAATAAAGTTTGATTTTAGTAAAAATTGAAAAGCATTTTTTTTGCAATTGTTTCATTTATATAAAATAAAACTAATTGTGTTTTAAAAGGCATTAAATAAATTTACATATAAATTGTCTTTAAGATAATAATAACCATAAGAAAAAACTTATTGAACTATCCTAGCTCACCTAAAAATTAATAGCGCACACAAAATGATAAGTGACTTGCTTGATCATATGTATTTCCAACTATTTCTTGGCTCTTTTGCTCATTTACTCTTGCAAAAGCTTATATATATATATATATATATATATATATATATATATATATATATATATATATATATATATATATATATATATATATATATATATATATATATATATATATATATATATATATATATATATATATATATATATATATATATATATAGTTTTATATTAAGTACAATTTTAGAATGTTTGTTTTTTAAGGATTATTTAGCACGTCATGATTTGCGTGAATTAAACATATGTAGCATTGACCCTCCTGGATGTACAGATATTGATGATGCATTGCACTGGAGACCTTTAGAAAATGGGAATTTTGAAGTTAGTTTTTCTATAAAAGTGCTATTTTATTTATTAAATTATTAATAAAATGTTTTATAATAAAAGTATTAAGATAATAAGTTTTGTTAATAAAACAATTTTTATTATTAGTGTGGCGTACACATAGCTGATGTTTCTCATTTTGTAAAGCCTGGAACTCATCTTGATGAAGAAGCTAAACAACGAGGAACTACTGTGTATCTTGTTGATCAAGTAAAAATACTATTTGTTAAGCTAACAGAAAAAAAAAAATTTTGAAAAAAATGTTTAAATATATATATATATATATATATAATATATATATATATATATATATATATATATATATATATATATATATATATATACATATATATACATTTCCACTGCATCAATTTCTAGAAAACAAGCATTAAACACATTTAATAGATTTACAAAAAGAAAATTTAAAATTATTTTTAGCGAATTGACATGATACCTGAATTGCTAAGTTCAGATCTATGCTCACTCCATGAAAAAGAAGAAAGGTATATTTTTTATCGTAAACAATTTTATGATTTCAAGATTCTTTTGTGTGTGTAAACTTGAACATTACTTTTTTTAATATAGGTTTGCCTTCTCTTGTATATGGGAGATGACTCCTGATGCAGAGATAGTGAATGTCAACTTTGTAAAAAGTGTAATATGTTCAAAGGTTATTGGTTGTTTTCATAGTTTTATTGCAATAAGTAAAAATGTTACTTCATTTTATTGAATTATCTTCATCAATTTTAGTTTTTGCATTCAAATTATTTTAGGCTGCATTAACATATGCAGAGGCACAGATGATAATTGATGATAATACTCGAGTAGATCCAATTGCAATCTCAGTACGAAATCTAAACGAGTTAGCTAAAAAACTAAAGGCCAAAAGAATTGAATTTGGGTATATATATTTTTTTCATTCATCAAATGTATGAAATAGTGTGTTCTAATATTTTCTCTTTATTTACAGAGCATTAACATTAGCATCTCCTGAAGTGCGTTTTCATATTGACAGTGAAACCCATGATCCAATTGACATGCAAAAAAAAGAATTGAGGTTTATTTTTCAAAAATTTTTCAAATATTTTTAAATATTTAAATTTTTTTATCAAATACTTTAATATTTAACCTTTTTGAATTGACTTGAGTTGCAGGAAAGATAATTTGAATTGCATTCATTATAAGAAGAGTTCTATACATCAAAACAGGCATTTCATCCAATAAAACAAGGATTTCATCAAATAAAACAAGGATTTCATCCAATAAAACAAGAATTTCAGCCTACAAAAGCACTTTATTGTTGAAATTAACACATTTTTATTGTGTTTATTTCAACATAAAGTGCTAAAAAGTTATACTAAAGCTATTTGCACATTGTTTGAAACACTAAAATCAGTTTTTGTTTATAGGGAAAAAGCTATTTATTTAAAATTTTAAATATTTAAATTAGAAGTTAATTAATTAATTAATAATAATAATAAAAAAAATATTTTTTAAAAATAAGTCATTAGATCTTTTTTTATTTTGTTTTAAAATTATAATTAGTTTAAATTAGTTTTTATATGTTTTTAAACTCCTCTGTTATAAATTTTATATCTGCGCTGGAGAGTTACGAGCATCAACAGTTATATTCAATTTAAAAGGAAATATTTAATAAAATATTTAATAAGATTTAAACAGCATATAAAAGTATTTTATATCTTGTTTGCCAATTTCTTTTATTTAAAATATTTGATCACTACTAAATTCCTTTAGACTGTTGTGATTTGCGGTTGTTTTTTTGTACTGTATGCTTTATTTTTCTAGTTATCTGATGATTTATTTATGAACTAAATATTAAAACTTAAATCACTAAAATATAAAAAATTAAATCACATATTGATTTGATATGATTTGATATGATTTGATATAATATGATTGATTGATTTGATATGATTTGATATGATTTGATATGATTTGATATGATTTGATATAATTTGATATGATTGATATGATATGATTGATTTGATATGATTGATATGATATGATTGATTTGATATGATTGATATGATATGATTGATATGATTGATATGATTGATTGATATGATTGATATGATTGATTGATATGATTGATATGATATTGGTTGATATGATTTATATGATAAAACAAAATATCGAAAGTTAAATCACATTTTTAATAATAATAAAAAATAATAGTAAAAATGATAGTAATAATAGTAATAACACTGTTTTATAATAAAATTTTATAATATAATTTCAAGATTAATATATATTTTTTGTTATTACTATTATAAACTATTAAGTTTAGTGATAAAAATAGATTTTATGGTTTTTAAAAAACTAAAAATTTAATTTAAGCCTTAGATTTTATGCTCAAAAGTGACGATGAAATTTCAGATTTTAGTAATAGTGACTTCAATGATATGATTGATGACACAAATATTTCCTCTAAAGGAGATAATTATTATGTTATGGACAAATTATTTTCTGAAATCAAAGTGATGATACCCATCTTGGTGATGTTGTTATTCCAACTAGTAAAAGATGGCAGGTGATGCAACAAAAAGAATTGTAAACTTGATGCTCTTTGCTTTAGACTAAAGCAATGCAAATTGTTTTAATAACAAAATAAGTGGAATCGTTTTTTAAGCAACATGGGTGCCCAACAATCAAAGGAACCCTATTTTGACTTATTGATTCTAATTAATAACCAGGTGTGATAACCGACTACTGTATCCAAAGATAATGTTACAAGAAGATGTGTGGTGTATTATAATAAACCAAACAAACCATGTAAAGTTAATTTTGTGCCAAATGTGATGTTGGATTATGTGTTGTGTTTTGCTTTAAAAAATATCACACTGTTTAAAATATTGATTTAAAACAATATCGAGGTCCAATTGTAAGGAATATTTATAATGAATTTAGATTCGCTCTTTAATAGTTTAAATTTTTTTCTGATTATTTTTGTTTGCTCTACCTAATACTTGTAGTTTTTAAAGATAAATCAGACACTTGTGTTGTTGTGTACCAAAATCTGACACTGGAGTTATTGTGCACCAAAACCTGGTACTGGAGTTAATGCACACCAAAACCTAACACTGGGTTATTGTGTACCAAAACCTGACACTTAAGTTAGTCATTAAAAAGTTAGAAAATAGAGAAGGATTAAAAAGTTAAGAAAGCAATAGAAAATAATTTTAAACATAAGTGCTACTTTCATATCTTTTTCACTAAAAGTAGATTTTTTTTTCAAAGTTTTGCTTTTATAAATAATTTTTTAATTTGTCATTGACATTTTTTTGTAAAATTTAATATCTAATATGTTTCAATTATCCTCAGATTAATTTTGAGTTTTTTCCTCCTAAAAATTTGTTTTGTCTTTACTTATTACTACGAAAAATCATTTTTTTTTATACAATATTTATTTTTATTTACATATATTTTAGGGACACGAATTCTCTAGTCGAAGAATTTATGTTGTTAGCTAATATTTCTGTTGCAAAAAAGTTATATGAGCATTTTCCTCAGCATTCGGTTCTCAGAAAACATCCAACGCCTTCTGCTGCAATGTTTGAAACTTTAATCAAGTCAGCCGCTAGCTTGGTAAACAAAAATTTATTATTAAGAAATTTTTTTATTCAAATTTTTCCATTACTGTTATTTTAAATATCATTGTTTCTAGAATGTGCCAATAGATATATCAAGTGGAAAAAGTCTTCAAAATTCTTTGGATGCTGCTGTCTTTGAAGACGATCCATACAAAAATATAATGCTTCGAATTCTCTCTACTAGATCTATGACTCAAGCTCTTTACTTTTGTTCAGGAACTGAAAAATTTTCTGATTACCAGCATTATGGACTTGCAACTCCAATATATACACATTTTACATCTCCCATTCGTAGGCATGTTTATTTATACACATTTTACTTCTCCCATATGTAAACATGTTTATTTATACACATTTTAATTCTCCCATATGTAAATGCATTTATTTATACACATTTTACTTCTACCATATGCAGGCACATTTACATTTAGCTTTCTTTTTTAAAAGTTTTTTTTGTTTTTTTAAATTATTCTTTATTACACATGGTACAATTCTTTACACAAAATATACTGCAAATTAAATTTTTTTCCCCAGTTTAATGTAGTATTAGATAATGTTTTTATATTTAGGTATCCTGATATAATGGTTCATCGTTTGCTTGGTGTAGCATGCGGAGCTTATCAATCAAGTTCGGATTTACTGAATAAAACTAGTGTACAGGTAATGTATATGCATATATAGTTCACAGAGTACCTAATGCAGTAACAAACACACACATATATATATATATATATATATATATATATATATATATATATACATACACACATATGTGTGCATATATGTAGTTTTTGTAGTAGTATGTAGTATATGTATATATATTACTACTACTGTACATACTATATACATACTACAACTATGCAATCAAAAATAAATTATCTTTATCAACAGTTTTTTTTAACAATCAATAAACTATCTTTATCAGAGCAGACTAGATGACTAGAAACAGACAGAGATGACTAGAAATTCCTTCTGGTGAAAATCAACCAATGAACTAATGAACCTTGTGCTTCATTTTAAAATATGTTGAATATATTTCCCACTCTGAAGATTCTTTCATTAAAAATGGTTCAACAATTTCATGCCAATCTTCAAAATTTGATTGAAAAGTTCTGCAGTGTGTGTTCATTAAATTTTGCAGTTGTGTAATGACGGAAGACAATAGAATGTGACAGTCAAATGTGGCAACATCAAGTCTTTTGAGAGATTTCTGTTACAAGTTTTTGCAATTGGATAATCATGGGAATCAAAGAAAGCCAATCCTACTAAATTTTCAGAAAAATACCAGAGGTGGCGATGAAAAGCTTTTACTGCAGCAATTACAATTGTATGATTTGGATATTCTTGAGTCTGCTGAAAAAGCTTGGCATTATTGAATGTTCAGCTAACGGAGCTTGATTTTAAAACTGTCAATACATAAATGCCACAAAATAACTTGTCTACTGTTACTTTTTTTCCCTTGCAGTAATTGATCCTAAAACAAAAAACTTTTTTAGAAAGTATATAGCTTTCGCCATCAAATGTGCATTGTGTGTTGCATCTGAGGTTTGAAAATTTACATTCAACACTGATGTTGTGGTTGATCCTCCATGAAAAATCAGGCACAAATTCAGGAGTTTTAAGTAATCACTCTGGGTTGTTGACCTTTAATTGAAAATCGCAGTTGAGATGTTCTTCATAATATTAGCTATCTATGAGTGGGCATCAATATTAAAGAGTCTTCATACAAACATCAGCCTGTTGCTCACCCATACCTTGACCAATCTTTGGAACGTCATTTCACTTTTCACACAATTTTCCACTCCACCATCCAGTCACAAGGATGGCAATTCTATTCATTTTTTGTTGATCCCCAGTGATATTAAGTAAGACTTTACATCTCAATGCAGAAGAAGTAGATAATAAGGAGAGAAATTAACCTTGTCAGCCATAGTCACCATATACTCTGATATTAGATATTAGGGAAGTTATATGTATTGTAAAATGTAGATTATGGCTACTATTTAGGAATTCCGGCCGGAATTTGTGTCTTTTAGTTCAATTTGCTTCTGGCTGGAATTAAATTTTTTTTTTTCACTTTTTATTTTATGACACAGGCTGTGTAAATAAATCAAAAAATCATTTTCCTACAGAGCAATGAAGAACTATAGATAAACCTAGGTAAAAAATACAAATGTAATTTTATTTGCAGAAAAAGTAGTACTACAAATACATTTGCAAAAATTACATTTGTATTTTTTACTTAGGTTTACCTGTATTTTTTCATTGCTCTACATTGCTCTATAAGATAATGATTTTTTGATTTATTTACGCAGCCTGTGTCACATGTCATTTAAAAAAAAGTGAAAATTTTTTTAAAATTCCATTCAGAAGCGAATTGATCTAAAAGACACAAATTCTGGCTGGAATTTCGGTACATCTACTATTCTAGAAATATACTACTACTATTCTAGAAATATATAATTTATATTACCTGAAATTTATATTCATTATTAATAAATTAGTTTATTAATATTCTTGAAATATAATTTTAAAAAAATTTAAAAATTAAAAATAATCTTAAATAACATGGTAACCCTTAAAATTACTTCTACTAGTCTAATTTTTGGTACACATGATTCTATGTGATAAAGAAACACAGGCAATCTTTTAGGAGAATGTTTTTTGTGACATTGATTTGATTTCTATTACAATGTGAATCGCCCTAATATATATTTGAATTAAATAGAAAACACAACAAGATTTGAATTAAATAGAAAACACAGTTTTTAGTCTTTTGATTTTTTTATTGATTCATAAAGTGCATATGATAGGGTTATTTATGGAATAACACATCGGGCAAATGGCCTCCGTAGCTTTGCATACACATACGCACTCGTTTGTCAAATTTACCATGACCGTTCTGCATAAATGTGGAGCTTCTTGAAATTTACAATTCTTGTTCACGACGCCAAATTGAGGTTCCTAGATTGTCATTGACACTCGCACGCATTGCCTCTATATTGACATTTGAATGGCTTGTTTTTGAACAACCAATGTGTAAGCATCTCCCACGGATCCTGTCTCGTAATTTTTCAATTAATCTCTTCACAGTTAACGAAGTTAAAACACTATACACACACACACGCACATGTGTATATATATATATATATATATATATATATATATATATATATATATATATATATATATATATGTATGTATATATGTATGTATGTATATATACTATAAATTCCTATAGTATATGTATTACATATACAACCCAAGCCCTTAGTCAATGTAGCAACATTCTTTTGCATGTTTTACTTAAATAGCCAGTTGATGTATGTAAGTCCCCTGCAAATCATAAATTTAAACATCAAATCGAATCTCAAATATGTTCACCTATATATTTGCAAATCAAGTCTTAAACTTTATAAAAGTTTTTTCCTATTTCAACTATTTATAAAAACATCAAGCTAACTGGGAAAGAACATTGAAACCAAATGACCAAAATGAGGTGGTTGAAATCTGACATGGTCATAATTTTTTAATGCTAAAGTATAGTTAAAGTAAATTATTTATAAGATAGTCAAACTGAATATTTTATTAACCAATTGCCCTCACGTTTAGGTAGAGGAGGTGAGCTTGTAGGGGTATTTTTGTTCCCAAGCTACAATTACCAAAGTTTTTTTGCAAAACATTTTGATTTGACCTAAACATGAATATACTTAAGTTTGGTTCAAAAAAGTAATTTCCTGAATGTTCAAAAAAAGTATTTTGCATACCAAATGCTTCTTGTATGTTACAGAGGTGTGAAGTTGTTCTAGAGTTTTGTACGTCTAAAGTTTTAATTTGCACGTTTTTATTTTTAATTTTAGGCAGAAAACTAGGAATTAAACATATTTTACATAATTAAAAGTCAATTTATAAAAGAAAAGAAAGCATGAAAAGTAGTTTTTATACAGTTTAAAAGTTCATTAATTTGTTTATTCAATCTTTAATGGTTTCAATGATTTATTCTTCTTGCCAAGCTAATAAACTTTATTTTTGAAAAATTTATTCTGGAAAAATCTTTAATAATTGCAATTGAGAGTTAAGATTGAACATCAATGATTTGATGAAGAGAATCATCGAACATCAATGATCTGAAGTTCTCTCCTGTCTTGATGTTTTCTCAACTTAAGTAGCTCTTGCTTGCAGCTTTGTTGAAATGAATTTTTTGTAAAAAAAATTGAAATTTAATGATTTTTTTCTGCAAAATTTAAAATCATAGGAAATGAAAGTGAAAGTGAAACTATTGGTGTGGTGTGGTATGTATTAGTAAACAGAATTTTATCTGTTTTGTCAATAAAAATGAACGCTCAGCTCGCAACACTTTTTACAGCTCTAAAGTTTTTTATTTAATTCAACTTGTCACTTTCACTTTTGTTTGTCTTAATGGTCGAACTTTTTCTTGTTAGCATTTTGAGAAATTCTTTCGAAAATCATCGGCTTTTGTTTATAAAAAGCAACAATTGTGTTATTTCATTTATATGATCTGATCCTCTTAAAGGGAGCCCTAAGCGAACAAAATACTCAATGTATTCTATTTCTGCGTTTTGATATTGCCGGATTTTAAATTAAAAAGCTGTTCATCAAGCATTGTCGAAGGATCGCCACAAAAAGAAACAATGGTTTCGAATGGGCACCCCTGTGGTATTTATTATTTTGATGAAACAATCTATTTTCTAATGTGTGTTGGCTTTTTATTTTTCTTTAATTTTAACTTTAATTCTTCATAAAATAGAAACAAAAAACATTTTTACACTATTGAACCAGTTATTCTGACATGAGGAATTTTGTCCAAGAAAAGCTAAAATTGCTAGGACGATATAGCTTTTTAAGCTACACTGAACCTTTACAGGAGGCATTAGACACAACTAAACTGCTTTCAATAGCAATTATGCTACTATTTATGTTCTAAACACCATTTAGTGCATTTTATAGCATCAGTATTTAGAGCATCGAAATTTACAACATCCATATTTACAACGATATTTGCACTACACAGCTTCTACAATAAAATTGCTTTTAATGGCATAATCCAAAGTTAGAGTTTACAAAAGTGATTTAAAAGTAATCAGGTTTTTTTATTTTTTTTTCTGAGAAAAAACAATTTTTTTGAATAACTTACGTACAAACTGGCTAAACTATTTTTTGTTTCCTTTTGTTTTATTTTATACAAAACAGTTGTTTATTGCGCAATAGTTTCAAATAAATAATAAGTGCTAATATCTTCAAAAGTTTCCAATTATTAAAGTTACTTACTATCTTTGCTTAAATAAACTCTTCAATTAATAAAGTTACTTACTATCTTTGTTTAAATAAACTCTTCAATTAGTAAAGTTACTTAGTATCTTTGCTTAAATAAACTCTTCAAAAGCGCTTTCGAATTAGTAAAGTTGGTCATTAACTTTGTTTAATTACACTCAGATCTCATTTCAGAGTAAAAAAACGTCAAAAAAAGTTTAAATAGTATCGAGTATGACAAAGATTTTGAATAAATATTAATGCATTTTTTTTTTTAATTTTTAGTCTATAACTTCGCATATGAATCATCGACATAAAATGGCGCAATATGCTGCTAGGGCATCAATCAATCTACATACTCAAGTAAATATCTATAAATGTGGGCTTCACTATGTTAACCTTTTTTTTTTTTTTACAAATTGTTAATTACTGAGCTATATACATTTAATTTAGATATATTTCAAAAACAGAATCTGTGACGAAATTGGATATGTTTTGTTTGTCAGAAAAAATGCGCTTCAAGTTCTTATTCCTAAGTACGGACTAGAAGGAACCGTCTATTTATCTTCTAATAAAGACACCGAAAGTCCATTTAGGTTTGATGAAGAAGTAAAAATATTAACGAAGTTTTTAGATAATAATAAACAAAATAATTGTTATCACTATAGATTTTGTGTGATGTTCTGTAACAAATAAATTTTTTTAGGGCCGATTTCAAAATTTTTTTTAGAGCCTTTCTCAAACTTTTGGAAACGTAACTATTAAAGTTTTTGATAAAGTCATTGTCCAAGTGAGCATAGAAAAGAAAACTATTCAAACCTCCGAGATGAAATTAAAACTAGTTCGTCCCGAGGTTTGGACTTATTTATTTTAGATTTTTGTGATTTTTAAAATATTTTTCAGATTTCTTTTAAAGCATTTGAATTATTTTTAGATTCCTGGATTATCGGTACCTGCAGTTGGCGTAAAAAAAGTTTCAAACGATGAACCTGTCATTAAAAAACCTCGAGTATCTGATGATTAGCATATTTCATTCTAAGCACCTTTCAATTTTCTATATAAATCTTTTAAAAAAAAATGATGAAATAAAAAAATACTGATATTGATTAAATTAATACAATTAAGTTTTCAACAAAAAATATTTATAATCAAATTTTTCATAACAGTTTTTTAAAAGTGATCTTAAATAATTTGTGATTTGTCTGTGACGTGATCATTCTGTAACAAGGCCAGTAAATATGTCTTTTCAAGTTAATCTTTAAATTTTGAAATTTAAAACAGAAAGCATTTAAAGCCATCTATTCAGAAATATATACTTACATATTAAGTATATATTTGTAATAGTTTTGTGGAAAACATTGCAACTCTATCTAGAGTCTAAAGGAGGGGGATTATTAGGGGAAAGTCGGGTAGCCCCGGACGGCGGGTAACTCCGGACGCTTGATGTACAGCTTAAACTAAAGAAGCTATGTGACCTTTAATACTAGAATAACATTAATTGAGTGAAAATATAGCATATGCAAAATATCTATCATAAAATCCCGAAGCGAATGACTGGGAGGGCAAGATTTTGTTTCCCACCACCATAAGAGCGACGTATCATGTTATTCACATATTAACATACCTAATTTTTATGTAAACTAATAACTTGAGCATATATTTTTAAATGATGACATTTTCACTCTCATTCGTTATAGAAGGGCTCAGCGGAAAGGTGGTCTAAGCCACAATTACTTCGTTTTTAGTAAACTGTGAAAGACTTCAAGGATCTTTTTAAAAATAACAGAAAAAGGTATCATTATCAGAAGCATAGTATTTATTATAAAGACAGGTAAAAAAATACACTGGTATATCTACTAAAAAAATTAGGACACTATACTACTGTATTCTGCAATAACAAAAAGGTTAGGCAACTTTACCTCTTCAAATTTTTGTAAATATTGTTAATAGAGTTGGTTAGGCTAAACGGTTGTTTTGTGTATGACTTTAATAATTCTTTTATATATGTAGCATTCACTAATTTATGTCTTCGTTAGACCCAAATCAGTTGCCTCCTTATCACCTTTAAGAGCAATATAATGAAATATGATTTGAAATAAGCGTGGTGATCCTTTTTTAATTTTTATCCAGCATGTCTTTAGCCATGAAACTTTTTCGCCATTTATTAATTTTTTTCTATTGGTTATTCCAGTCTTCAATGATTTTGTACTGAAAAATTCATGGGTCTCCATTTTTCTTACAATAAATTTTGGGGCTCTCTTCTTTGAATTTTTAATAAGGTCTATCCAATGGTCTGGAACAAATATTTGATCCTTCATTTTTTTGGCTTTTTCAATCACAGCAAAGTCTCAGTCGCAGTAGGAAAAACTATGCCCTGGTACAAAAAATTTCTGTTCAATGGTTTTCAGAGATGGAGATTTGTGCAAAATATATTGTAACATAAAAGACATTTTTATATTACGATTTTGGCCACCACAACTATCACTATGCAATATTAAATGTGTAACAGTTTCTGGTATGTATCGAAAAACATGCTCGAAGATACACGAACCTATCTCTTGAGTACCTCTGGATTGCTTGTTCTTCACTCCATACATACATAAATCCTGTTTTTAAGTTTTCATCATGGATTCCAAGATTGTAAGTCCACATTTGCCTTTTATAGTAGGCTATTCCTGTACTAAGCATTGGTGTTGGTAGAGTTTTTTGTTAGTCAAAAACTAATACCCTCTTGTATGGATTTGTCTGTGCATCTAGTATATCTTCTTTCATTTTTACTTTTGTCTTTTCAGACATCTTTTTTTTTTTTTTTTTTTTATGTTAATTTTAGGTGCCCCAAGAAGTCCTTACGGTCTTATCACAGAGCACTGCGGAAGAGCATTTAATGGGAAATTCACGCCTCCTTCCCAACCGATGTCGCAAAATTTGCCCAGAGGTGGGGTTTGAACCACGGATATTACGTTTCTGAGGCAAGTGTGCTACCACTGCGCCACGGCTGCTTTTGATGAATAACCACGGCATCTCTTGATGAATAATAAGGTCCCTCCTAACAGTGTTCTTTTCTTCACCCTCTGAAAGACACCTAATTTTATTGTTAAATAGATCACATTGTTTACATGTATCTGATTGCGGTTGGTGAAAATATAAATTGAATTTTGTATTGAATATGTGTCGAAATACAAAAATTGAAAGTTGGTTGCGATCATTTTCTTTGCAACTGCGAACATATTTCTCGTACATTGTTGACATTCGTAAAGTTGGAGGCAAATAATTTTTGTACTGGTTGTCCTTTCGGCTATAGTGTGATTGATATGTTGGAAAAAAGTGAATAAAACTTTAAAGATATTTGGTGTCTTCATCACTACTTTTATTTTGTGGAGATTTTACTACTGCACTCGAGCAACAACAATCTTTGTTAATAAAAATCTTTGGTTCAACTACTTTGTCCTTTTTTGTTACATAACCTTCCCCTGTTAACCTTTTCTGTTTCAGAATATTTCATTTGTGTAGTTTTGGATGGGCAATTTGCTTACGATTATGTCTGTCTGTCTGCTTTTTGCTTCTCGAAAGAGACTGGGTTTTTTCTCGTACTTCCTGGGAGAAGCTGTCATTCTCTCCTACTTCTCTAACAATATTAACATTTGAATCTGCAATGAAAATGTTAGGTAAAAATTATTTTTTAATAAAAAAAGAACTCCTAACAAAACAAACTAAATGGCCTTAGCTAGTCTAATGCTAGGCCTAACACCAATATAAACAATTGGTCCTAGGCCATATTAATGAACTAAAATATTCGTTTTATAAGCCTATTTATTTTTAGACAAATTGTACATACCATTAACTCCTGTTAATATAGATATAGGTTTTGCATTTTTTTCAACATATTGATCCCCAATACTTGAATCTGCAATAAAAAAGTGCATGTCAGTTTTAAAAAAACTAGAAGAGGAAAACCTGCCTAAACAACATTGGGTTAGAAACTATATTATTGTATCATAAACTCAATTAAAATTATATCTTGATGCTGTATTAATTATATACAGACCTTCGCTAGTATCATCTGCTAAAGAAGGGTTCTTATTTGCACCTAAACCATAACAACCACTTTTCATAATAAAATCTTTCAAATTTGAGCTGTCCATTTTCGCCATGTTGATTGTGGGATGAACTTTTCCACGATTCAAATTTTATTTTTCTGTTAAAATAAATATGATTATAGATAGCTGTACTGTTTATGTGGATTTTTGGGTTCAGCACTTTTTCCACAACAAACTACATACTCAATGTATGGTTTGCAGTGATTATCTGAAAATTTTCAAAAATGTGGATTAGACCACTTTTCCGCTGAGCCCTTCATATATCGATTCGATATATGAAGGTTCGATCGGTTCGATCGGTTCGATCCCCACCACGTCCCTGGTAGTACCGCGCTCAACTCGTTTCTCCGCGCAGCGGCCTTGCTCGTCAAGGTTCGTGTTTCAGAGTTATAGAGTTGAGAGAGGTTTATAACCATAATTAAGTAGCCTCCTCGTCTGTAGTGGCCTTCTCGGCCTTGAGGAGGTGAATTAAAATTAAAAAAAAAAAAAAAAATATATCAGAAGCAATTTTTAAAGGCGATTTTTTTTTTAATGTGTTGAGAACAGTCCAATGCTAAATTATTATATATATATATATATATATATATATATATATATATATATATATATATATATATATGTATATATATATATATATATTACATTTGAATCACACAAGGAAAAAAAAGGTAAAACTATGGTTAAACTATGTGTCCGGGGCTACCCTCCAATTTTAAAACATGCTTTTTTTCAAACCTTTTTTTATTTATCTTTTGTATATTATTAAGGTACACAATAATTATTTTTTTGTTTCTAACTCGATAATAAATGTTTGAACTTTTGAAAAAAGTCTTATGACACTTTTTTTTCTATTAGCACATCTGCACAATCTATGTTTTCCTTAAGTGTCCGGGGCTATCCGACTCTCCCCTATATATAGTTTTCTTCAATTTAGTGGCGTTTTGCCATTAACGCTGGTCTACAAAAAATTTAATGCATTAATTTTGACACTTGCTCTTACATGATTTCGATACGCTAAACACAAATCTGATTTAAGTTTTTTTTGACTGCAGCTATAGATTTTTCGTAATGTGTAATTTATTTATTTTGCAAAATTTAGAAATAGTTCTGAAAAGCAGATTTGAAACTCATTTGGAAATGACAGGGTATGTTTATAAAAATTTAAATTTTTTACAAAGCTAAAATAATAAAAGTACACATGAAAGTAAATGTCAATTGTTTAAAATGAACGTTTTAAAAAAAATCAGTCTTGAACATTTGCTTGTTGCTCTTTTGTCAAAACTTTTATAAACTTGGCCTGAGTCATCTCGTTTGATTCTTCAGCATTAAATTCTTGCTCGAATTTACCACACAGTAATAATGGGGGAATTTAGTAAAACTTTTCTGCTAATTATGGAGAAACCATTTTTAGATCTACACAAATAATTCAGTTGTTCTTCATTTAGTCAAGTTAAACACGATTTTAATGTTAAGTCTCTTGCAAAAATCAGAGTGGTAATTGGTGTCATTATGTTTATTTGCGATTGTGCAAAAAAAACAAGTTGAGTCTTCGCTTTGAGCTATTGATAAGCCTCCATTTTATTAAATTATATAACAAAATACCTAACTGGAATAGGAGACCTGATCATGACAGAAAACAAATTGACTTTTGAAAAAAAAGTGTTAAGTCATTCCGTTCAATTTAGCTAAAACACTGAAACGATTTTAATTGCGGTGCTCTGTGATAAGACCGTAAGGACTTCTTGAGGCACCTAAATAAAATTAAAAAAAAAAATAGCAATCGTCAATTAGGTTTAGTGGTTTTCTCCAAAGCATACGAACTTAATAAGGTAATTCTATTTTATTTCACGATGTCTGGAGCCCTCTCTTTATCTTGTTATTTTTACAAAATTAGTAATGCTTCGTTTTTGACCGACAAGAAGCAACAAATATAACGGAATACGTTAGGATTATGTTTGCCCTTATGCCAATTTAAAAAAGCCATTATACAGTTTGTTTGATCTAAAGAGTAAAATGCTTTTTTCATAAATATTGAATAAAAATGCCAATGAAAAATATAATTTTTCGAAAAAAAAATAATTTGGTTATTGCAAATAAAGCTTGCTGTCAAAACGACATTTAACGTTTAAAAATACATAAAAACCAGTTACTACCTTATACAACCTTATACAATCTTACGTACCTCATACAACAGAAAAAGGTTTTTTTTTTTTTGAGATCTCTATAATCAGCTAGTTGTTTATATACGCCTCCTTTTGCTTGCTAAAGGCATTATTGAAATTTACAATAATATGGAGTTTAGAAAGATGCAAACTTTTTTTCCTTATTTTTTAGTTCATGACTTTTTTCCGGGATCGGAATTTTATACCTTGATGTTTTGTGGTCCACTTCTTCAATCATTCCGGGATCCGATACTTATTTCTTGATGTATTGCAGTTTACTTCTCAGAACTTAATAATTAAATGAACTAAACTCAATTTTTTTTCCTTTTCTCATAATTTATACACAATCATAATTTATAGACAATCATAATCTATACACAATCATAATCTATACACAAATTTGAAAACTAATGTTGAAGTAAACTTTGAAGATCATTTATGTTTTTAGGCAACAGGTTTCTTTTTTTTCGTTTAAAACAAAAACTGTTTTTAATGAATTAAAAACAGTTTTTGTTTTAAACAAAAAAAAGTCAAAAAGGGTTTTCTTTTTATCATAAAGAGTTTTAAAAAAAAACTACTAAAATAAATAAATAAAAATAAATTTTATGATTTGAAATAGACTATTAAACTATACATTTTAAGCTTGAATATTTTTTAAATCATATATTTTTTGAACTAGGGTGTTTTTCAAAACGTATATGTTTTAAACTTGGGTGTTTTTTAAAACATACTTTTTGAACTTGAGTGTTCTTTAAAACATACTTTGAACTTGGGTACCCTTTAAAACGTTTAAATATGTTATGAGTTTGAGTATTAATTTTTTTGTTAATGTGTTCCAAGAAGTTTTTAAAAATTAAATAAGGTCTTTAAATATGTAATTTTTTTGATTAAGTAAATTAGGTGTTACTAAATTTTATTTAATTATTACTTATTTTTTGGGGGAAATTATTCAATCATATAATAAAAATACTTATTAGGTATTAATTTTATTTAATTATTACTTATTTATTTATTTTTTTTTTTTTTGGAAATTATTTCTATTAACAAGAAAATTTTATCAGAAGTAAAAGATAAATGCGATAGAATATTAATTTTTAGAAATATTTAAAGAAATATTTATTTATTTTTGCTTTTGATTACATTTTGAACAAAACCTTTGGCACAAACCGCCCTAAACCAAGATTTTTTGATAACTCGAACTCGTTTAATCGTTAAAAATTTCTTTCCTTATTTGATAAATAAGGAAAGAAATTTTAAATGATTAAACAATGCTAACAAGACTTGTGATAAAAAGGGTTTCGCTTTTAAATTATCGCGAAATGCGACAAGTAATTATAAACATTTTTTGTGATTTGAATTTTCTTTCCCTAAATATTTTGAAATTTTTTTCCTATATACTTTGAATTTTTTTTCCTAAATGCTTTGAACTTTCTTTCCTAAATACTTTGAATTTTTATCTGAAAAAACTTTAACAATTTTTACGATAAAATAAATAAATACAATATTGAATAAAAATTTGTTAACTTTGTTAAACTTAAAAAAAAGTTTTAAAAAAGGTTTTTCAAAAAAAAAAAATTGAAACGTAAAAACATAAGTTGTTTGAATTAAATAATCAGTTGGAGACAAGAAAAGATATTTAAAGGTAGAATCCATTTAAAATAATGACCTAACTTTTGAAAAAAATTTTCGTTTCTTTTTCTAACATTTCTTCAAGAGTCTTTGTTTTAATTTATCAATTTTTCAAGTTCTAATTGACTTTCGATACCTGAGAAGTATTTTATCGTATATATATATATTTATTTTAGTATTAAAAAAATATTGACACTATTTTGAATTAGTGATGCAACTGTATTTTCTTTCAAACTCATTTGGTTATCTTGCTAATTACGAGACACTCGGGTTAATTCAAAAATTGAATCTACTCGGTCATTTTATTTGATGCAATTGCTTTATCTTTGATGTATGGTTCATTCAAGTTTTAAATCAGAATTTAATAATGAAAACTCTTCAAAATTATTTCTGTCCTTACAGTATTCATTTTTTATTTTGACGTCTGCATCTATTATGGTTATCTGCTCAACAGAATCTTTCTGTGATTGATAAGAAACGTAAGTAAATTAAAAATCTAAAAGAACAGCCTTTTAAATTTTTATTTCAGCAAATTATCAATTTTGATATTTTAGCAGGAAGCCTTTAGTGTACTGATTAGTTGTGTGTATTTTGAATTCATCTTCATATGAAGTCTATTTGATGTAGTTATTCCAATAGGTAAACGGACTGTATTGACTACTTGTTGGTTGATTCTCTCTATTGATCATATCACGGTTCACAGTTTTTCTTGGATTAGATTGTTCATTAGTTGCTTCAGTAAGAGGTGCTGACTTGTCTTGATCCGATGAAAACTTTTCATTGTCAGGATCATTATTTATTGTTTCAAGAGTTTTCCCAAGCTTACTTTGTTGCATAGACGGCATAATGTCTCTCCTAGTAGGATTAATGGTCGAACTTGACTTAATCGAAGAACTTGGTTTATTGTTATTTCGTCTTTTCTCAATTTCTCTAAGTTTGTTTTCTATGACGTCAACAGAAAGTGGTTTTTTTATTGTTTGCGGAACCTGATTACAGATAACCTCATATTGTTTCAACGACTGAACTTGTCGTTTCATTGAAAATATTTTTGGAGCTACTTTAGATAGCTGCTCACTGGATTTAACACCAATTAACAGAGAATGCAGTTCCTAAAATAAACAAAGTCATTATAAACGCTATATACTTATGTTAATGGTACTAAAACGCTTTTCTTGTCATATTTGCGCAATCATTATGATAAAATATGATTTTAACTATAAATCAACCTGAGCCAACTTCATTATTTTGTCGTCTGTTTCTGCTTTGTGCATAATAACTTCAGACTTCTTGATAGCAGTTTGTGCAATTTCTTTCACTTTTGAAATATACTGTCTCAGCGTGACGCCATTGTCTACTTTGATTACTTCTTCAGCTCTTTTTGAAAAATAGCTTAAAGCAACTTTATTTTGTTCTTCGATTTGATTTTCTATTACACTTGCCCACTTTAATGTTCCTAAAATTTAACAAGCAGAACAAGCTTTTAGTTATAAATAATACCTGTTATTTGTTATAACTTGTTTTTTCATTTATTGTTTAAACATGTTAATATTATTTTTTTTAAATATAAAATTGCAATATTAATGATAAGAAACAAAAATATTATGTTACCATCTTTTGCTCTTCCTAAATAAGACAAGGCGTTGTCCATGTCTTCCATGGTGCAGTTTTCCAAAAAACCTTGACAAAAATTGAACGTGTTAAACAAATGTTTTAAAAGTTATTTTTGAATGCTCTATTGCACAAGTCCTAAATTGTTCATTCTTTAAAACGCTGATTACCTTAGCAAGTATTTGGTTCAAAAAAGATATCTTTTGAACTATTTTTTAAATAATCGAAAATTATCTTATTCGAACCAATGCCCGCTGAAAGATATAAGAAATTCTTTTTTTTTAAACAATGTAACTTACAGTCAGACTTTATTTGATCATCAATCATTCTGAGATCAGCTAATCTTCTATTTTTTTGTCTATAGAACATTATTTTCTCCTGTAAGAAATCTTCTGTAAATTCGGCTAGCGGATTAATTATATCACTATATCGGTTTACGCTACTTTTTAATTGGTCGCAACTTGTTTTCCTTTCTATCTCTAAACGTTAACGTTAAATATTATTAAAAAGAGAAACGGATAAAAATAAAAATGATTAAACAGAATAGAAGTTCAGGAACTTGCCCTTTACAAATGGTTGGTTATCAGGCGTTGCATCGTTGGCCAATATTTGGTTATCTCCTGGAGCTTTATCAAATAAAGGATCGTTTGAAGGTGCAATTTGCCAAAGAGATCTTTCTTCAAATGCATGAATTGTTTCGTCATCGCTTAAAGTAAAGCGAGGTAATTCACCAAATGCTAGCTTTCTATATTCATCTTCTTCTGGGGTCCAGAACAACGGACTAAAACAAAAAAAAAATATATAAAATAAGCATATAAATATGTTAAAACTTAAACAAAATCATTTTGAAAATTTTACCTTTTTTGGTCTGTCTGAATTGATCCGTCGGTAGTTTTGTCGATCTCTTTTGTTATATCTTGTCGTTCACCGTCAAGATTGCTCAATAACATTTTTACTTGTTCTAAGTTTTTGCTAAACTCAAAAAAACCTGGGTATAGATTATCAGCTATTCCCTCAGCAATATTTTGATCTAGATTTCCATCTAGTGCAGCTTTCACAGAAAACACTTTGGGTTCCCCGTGAAAAGTTCCGTTCACTAAAAGTTTTATAAGAGATCTTTCTGCATTATCAAGACTGTCTTTAAAGCAAATTCCTGTAACATCAATCGACTTTTCAACTTGAGCATCATTCAAGAACTTTGATATATCAACTCCTACACGAATTTCTTTATTTACCTTTTCTAAACCATTTAAAGTTGAATCCACAAGATTACGAGCGCGATTAACGAGTAATCTAGCGTCTTGTAACGATCTTTTAGTATCGGCTAAAGAACTCATCAGTTTCTGTAAAAAAAATAAAACAATAAATTTTTTTTTTAGCTTTCGCTGTGAGAAAAACTTTTTTTTTTGTTGTTTTTAAAAAAAAAAAAAAAATTGACAACCTGAAGTTCAATTTGCTTATTATTAGCTTTCACATTTTCGATGACCTTCCGACCAAGACAACGAGTTATACAATTAAGGTCAGGTATTTTATGACGACAAGAGTCCCAAAAGGGAGCTCCAATAGCATTTCGTCCTCCTAACAGAATACCTCTTTTTCTCCAAGTAGGTAATCCCATGCAAGCTAAAATGATTTGAAAATTTAAACAAATATAAATCATAAACTATTTTAAAGACATTAAATGTTATAAATGTCATCCTTAAAACTTATTACAAAAGTACAAATTTGTGCGCTTATTTAGGTAAACATGTGAATGTTTGTTCACAATTTATGATTTATAATAAATTTTATGATAAAAGTAGTTTAAAGATACAATTACAAAAACATACAATCTCCACAATCTTTAACACAATGTCGTCTAATTCCGTTTCTGAGTTTTTTCATAACTTCTGCCATGCTTTTTATATCTTTTGTATAATCCCCTGACCTTTTTTTGTATTTTTCAATCATTGATTTTGTGGTTTCATAAATATTTTCAGTTGTAGTCACACGTTCTTCTGCAGATATTAGAGTTTTTTTAGTTTGAGTAGCCGTATTTCGTAGAAGATTAAACAAAGAACTTTTGACATTGTTATAAATTGGAAGGCAGGCAGCTAACTGAATGCAGAAAATAGTATTAAATTTAAAGTATCAGATTTAATTAAATATTTCAACCTTAAAATAGTTAATTTTGTTGTTGTTATTGTTGTAGGTGCTTTAAGTCCTTATGGTCTTCAGAGCACACACTGCAATAATTAACATTTAGCAAATAAAGGAAGTTGCACTCACCTGAAAGTCTGCATTTTGAATGCTTTCTTGAAACGGTGAAAGTAATGAAATATTTGTTTTAATATTTCCTGGGAGTGAGGCATAGGTAGTTGTAGAAAATCCTTTGTCTGAAACTTTGATAGCGCTGATTCGTGAAAAACCTAAAGTAGAAACTTTTCCCACAACAACTGCCGAATTTGTTTGGGGGTCCATTCGAATTAGCAAAGTAGGTCCATTAGATACTTTTGTTTCTGAGCCAGAACGTTGTTTTAAACCCGCTCGCACTGTTAATAAACCTTGATTTATTCCAATGTCAGGAAGCCAAACTTCAATGAGTAGCTGAGTTTGATGTTGAAGGAATTTGATTGTATATTCGGCGTTTTCCCCCAATAAATGAATTCGGCCATTAATTTTCAATTCACCTTTATAATGAAAATCAGATGAATTAACATCTCTTCGCTCTGCCCCAATTTCGCCTCCTATTTCATCATCTAAAGAGCCAATCATTAATAAACTTTTAAAAACCCAAAGAAATAGTTACTCAAATTATATTTGTATATTTCTACATATTTCTGTTTCTACATATAACTTGTACATTTTAAAAACTGTTAGGTGTTTTCTAAACATTGTTTAAACATTTTAAAAACAGTTAGGTGGTTTCTACACATGATTTAAAAAAAAACTTACTACTTTAAAATATACTTACTTTCTTTATCCGTTTGCTCAAATGTTACAATGGCTTCATCCAAAAATCTTGCTTGCGATTGAAAACGAAGTAATGGTTGCTTAGTCCCAAATGCAGATGCCAGTTTTTCAAACGATAAATCTCGTATTTTGGCTTGAAATGTATTTTTAGATGGATCTTGCAAGTTCAATTTAATATTAGCAACTGCTTCAATGCCAATTGCATCATCGGAATTTTTACCAAGTACTAACCGCCCTATCATATCTAAATATAAGTTCTTTTTTACATTTTCATATTTGAAAAAAGAATAACATTTAATTTAACATAACATTTTAAATAACATTTAAAAACACTATTAAGTTATTGTTGATCATATCGAAAAGATTAACATGTGACAAAATACTTGGTTTCGCATGAAACTTTAATGACGACATCGTACTGAAATAGCTACAGGCGGACTCAAAAATATAAGAATTATAAGTGATTCGGGAAAACAGTCCCTACGTATAAAGGAGGATATAAAAACTTCGTTTTTTCATTATTCATTATCTTTTTCTAAAAAAAGTGTCTGGATTGCGGTGCGCATTTCAAAACCAAAAGTGAGCAGAATATGTTAGTAAGGTGTCAAAATGCATTAGTAGAAAAGTATCTTCATATAATTATATTATACTTACCTTCACATAATATCATATCATTATAATATAATTATAACTATAATATAAATACCTTCATGTAATAAAATACAACTATGTTATTACCTTTTCATAATAACGTATAATTATAATACTATTACTTTCATACAATAACATATAACTACAATATAATTACCTTCACATAAAAACATAAAATAACAACAAAAATAGTAGTAAATAATAATATTAAAAATAAAATAGTAGTAAAATAAACATACCAAAATTAGGTAATGGTAAACCGGGTTCGAAAGCTGCACTTAGAGAGCAATTATCTAAATGTACGTTGCTTAACCCAAAAGGTTCCTCCCAACTATTCTGCGATATCATATTTAGCTTTAATTGCCCTGTGTTATCAACACGCATATCACCTGAAAATAAAAATGTTTTCTAAAATGTAATCTTCAAAAGATAATAAAATACAATAAGATTTATTTATGAAAGTATCTAAAAACTTCTATTCTAGTTTATAATTACTTGTAACATATACTAGTTTACATAATAGACATTGGTCTATAAAAATTATAACAATTTGTATAACTTATAATTTGCATATCTCTAATGTTTTAAATTTGCCAGTAATATTAGATAGATCCCAGTGGACATGGACGTAAAAAAGACGTCTTTTAAACGTCTTATACACGTTTTAGACGTCTAGATAGATATATTTTATAAAATTTAAAAATCTAGAAAATTAGAACAGAACTCACCTGAAAAAGGAATATCTACTCCACGAGGGTTCATTGAACCAAATACGTAAAACTGAACTCCGTTATCAACAACATCTGCGTGAAAAGTGACGTCTTTCATTTCAAATGATTTTGACATGTATAGTGCCCCATCAACTGCAGCGCTTAGTTTCAACTCACCATTTGTAATTCCTCCATCAAGATGAAATGCGCTTCCATGTGGCATTTCTGATGACAGAACCTTGCATAGCGAATCGCCTTTACACAAATTATAGAATGGTCGTTTTATAAGTGCTCGCAGGTGAACTCCTAGTAAAAAAATTCAGTAGTTAAAAACCGGAACAAAAAAATATAAAAGAAAAAAGAAAAAATAAATTTTTACTTATTACCAGGTTGAACTTTAGTTTTTGCTAAACCAGGTGATTCAAACTGGAAATCAACCAGTTTATTTAAAGGACTTACAATCAAACCTGAGGCAAAATGAGTTAAATAATTAATTTTTTTTAAATAAATGTTAAAAATATTTATTTTAATTTTAATATTTACAGTAATCAGATTGATAGAACAAAATAGAACAAAGTAGATTAATTAAATTAATAAAACAGAGTAGATTGATTGAGAGAACAATAAAACGCCCAAACATGACAAAGAAATTATTAAATTTTTTCACTTGCCAACATTAACGCCAGTTGCCCAACTTCTTCTTTGAATTTTTTTATCAAGCATTCTTCCAAATACATTATCCATGTCAACATCCTTAAAAAGTAAACCCATGACAACTACATCATCTGCATCAACTTCTTCCGTAGCAACAAATTCTATGACTCCTTCTTCTACACCAAATACTGCGGGTTTTCCTGAAAATCTGTAATTTAATATATGTTAAAAATATAATACAACGAATATATAATAATGCATTAACCCTTTTTATTTTTTAATAAAAAAAGTGATATTTATTATTTTTTTATTTTAAAAGATTTTGAATATTATGTTTTTTTTAAATTGAGATCATGTAATTTTTTCTCATGTGAAAGCTTTTCTCATGTGAACCCGGGTTCACATTCAGAAAACGTTTGACAGACTTAATTAATTTTTAATCCTTTGTTATTATTGATTTTCTTTAATCTACACATTATTTTGTGCCAAGAATTTTAACGTGCAAGCACTACAACATGCGGTATATAATGTTGTAGTTTATGGTTTAGCTAAAAAAAAAGCAACAAAATATAAGAATGTTTTTAAGTCTACTTCATTACGTCATATAAAGAAATTCAGGTCAGTAATGGAGCTGGAATTGAGAAGAAGTTGGGACATCACAGTTCTGACTAGTGATCAAAAAGATGAACTTTGTTATATTATCTCGGAAACGGAATGAAAATTGTAAGGTTTAACTCCTTTGGATATTACACATTTAGTTTATCAATTCTGTGAACAAAATAAATTACAGCACAGATTTAGCTATTCAAAAAAATGTGCAGGAGAAAAGTAGTTTAAAAGTTTCACGAAACGTCATAGTAAACTTTTCATACGTTATGAAATATCATAGTGAACTGTCCATACGTCTACCAGAAGGCGTTTCAATACAACAAGCAGTTATATTTAATAAAGTAAAAATTAATCGCTTCTATAGTCTATTGGAGGAGGTTTTATTTGCCAACACTATAAGGAAAGTTCCACCAGAAATTATATGCAACTGTGATGAAACAGGGAAAACCAATTGCCAGAATACCGTAAAAAGGGTAAGCATAGAGTTGGTTGTCTTGAAGTGCAGAGCGAAACAAAAATATAAATATCATATGCTGCATGTCAGCTACTGGTCACTTTGTGTCGCCCTTATTTATTTCCCAAGAGTCAACATGTAAGCTTTTCTCATGGACAATGCTCCATTAGGTTCCGTTGGTAATGCAAAAAAGTCAAGATGGATCAATGAAAAAGTTTTCGAGAATTGGTTTGATCATTTTCTCAAGATTGTTCAACCAAAATAAAAATCAAGTCCAGTCCTTCTGCTAACAGATAGACATGTAGCCATACTCTAAATTTACCCATAAATATGAGAGTAAAAGTGAGGGCTAACTATGTGATTCTGTTAGTGTTTCCACCATACTTCACTCATAAGTTACAACCATCTACATTTCATTTTTGAAAAGTTTGAATTTGCATTATGACACAAAAGTAACGTCTTGGCTGAGAAATCATCGTTGTCGAGTAGGGTGGATCGATTTTCATAGCAAAAAAAAAAAGTTTGAAAATCAATATTCCTGAGACACGAATCGATGTCTATTAATTATAAGATGAAAGTAAAAAAAAATAATTTTGATTTTGATGAGATCTTAAGGTTCCTATTTGGATTCTAAATCCTTGACGGATCCTAATATTTTTGAATTGTTATTTTTCTAAACTATATCAACCTTGGACTCAAAAAAAGCAGAAAAAAATGGTTGTTTTATCAATAATAATTTAATTAAAAAAAAAATTTTTAGTGAAAAAAATATTTGCAAAAATATACCTTGAAACCCCCGTTTTGATGAAGACGGGGGTTTTTTAATAAAAAACGACATTATTTTTTTCTCTTTAGTTTTGAATTAAAACAAATATTATATTCAAAATAAGCGTATTATTCTGCTTCTTTTGAGTACCAGGTTGATATAGTTTAGAAAAAAAAAATTTCAACAGTATTAGGATCCGTTACAATTTAGAATCCAAAAAGGAACCTCTAAACTCATTTAAATTTAAAAAAAAAAAAAAGTAAGGTTTTTTTTTCACTAAAAGACATCGATTCGCAGCTCAGGCAAATCAAATTTCTAAAAATTTTTAAAATTGATCCACCCTATTGTCGAGCTGTTTCTAAAGAACATGTCGCTGGCATATTTGCAGAGATTTACTGTATTCCTGCAAATATTAACAATACAAAAAACAGTTTTGCTGCTGCTGGAATAAAGGCAAAAAAATTTCCATAATATTGTGGGAATATGTGGTACTATTGACACAGCAAAAGGATCAAAATCTTTAGTTACTGTATCTCCTAATTTCAGAGATATAATACCAAAACCACATAGCTCTAGACGCAATTCAAATTTGTCTAGGAAACAAAAATAGCCTGTGCAGCTGTAATCCCTGGATCACTTTATAAACAGGAACTTGCCTTTGAAAAAAAAAAGAAAAATGATAATGAAAACGCAGTTTGAGATGGAAAAAAGAATTCAAAAGTAGAGAAAATGTGAACAAAAAATCATTGCAGTAGCCGCTGAAAATTCAAAGAAATTAAATATAACAAATAAAAAAAGTCACTAAAAAAAACTGATAAAACTGAAGAAAGTAACGGAAAGCGCAAGTCAACTATTTGTTGTTAACAGCCTTCAGCCTCTAAAAAACGTCAAAAGAAATCTGCATCTGCACTTACTAATGATTCTTTTTTTTCTAGTGGTGATTTATATCTTAGTTTGACTGATGCATGGATACAATCCTAAGGACCTTGTATTCAGTGGGCTGAAGTGAGATAAAAAAAGATAATATAATATAGATATAGATAAGCCCCACATTTTCTATTACGAAAGATCTTTAAAAAAAAATTCTTTGAGTATTGTTAGGACCTTTTGTTATAAAAGTAATAAACCTTTAATAAAATGGTTTCTTTTTAATTTTAGAGCGTGAGATCTTATAAAAATGTTATATAAAGAAAGCAAATCATTAAACTTAATTTTTTTTCAAATTCATTAAATTAGGATTTTTTCACTTATTTTCTCACTTTTATTTCACTGTTGATTTTATTTATAAACTACTTGTAGTTTAAATAAAGTATGCAATCAAATTAATTTATTAAAGACAGAAAAGGTTACAAAAACAATAAATACCAGGAAATCTGATTTCAATTATAGATTTACATCATTAATTTCTGCGTTTTCAAAAAATTGTGAACGTGTAATTTATCTAAAAAAATTTGATTTTCTTAAGAGAAACAAACGTCAAAACACGAAATTATAAAATTGGTAAACAAACATTTTACGATATTTGTTCACATTATGATTATTTACTGATTTTACAAAACTATTTGATAAAATTCTAATTTTAATGAAAAAAGAAAATATTACGTAATAATTACTAAACTATTATTTATTGAACTTTATCGATAATAAGAAATATGTGAATAAAAAGGCTAATGACAGGCCCGTAGGAACAAAAATTATGTTGTGGGGGGAGGAGGCAGTGCTGGATTAAGAGGCCCAAAAATAGTTTTAAGGACCTTTTTTTAACTCATTTTTTCAGTCAATTTTTTCAAAATTATTTATTTTAAAAACTATTAGGGGGGGGGGGGACAAATACCCTTGCTGCCCTTCCCCCCCCCCTTCCCCCCCTCCCCCAATTACCACGGGCCGGAATGGAGAATACGATATTTTTTCAAGATTTTTGGGAATATTTACAGTATATTAATTACTTCATTCGCAAAAAAAAAAGTATTTAGTCAACACTTTTGAACATTTTAAAAAATGTGAAATTTTTAACCTGATTACAAAAATCTTTTTTTGTGATCAGGTCAATAATATTGAGACAGTCAAATAATATTGAGACACTTCATCACGTGTCAGAATTGCTTCAAAAGCCCAAATAGTTAATAGTTAAAATAAACGTGGTTTTGTGACCGAATTTACGTTGGAAATAAAAGTCTCATGATAGTCAAAATTTAATAAAAGATTTTTACAAGTAAATAAAAATTTAATATAAAATTTTTTTACTCGGAAGTAAAAATTTATGATTAGTTAAAAACGTAGTAGTAAAAATCTCATACTAAACTAGAATTTATATTAATAAAAAAATTCTCCATAGAATATTATTTGGCTTCAGTAAAGCGCGTTTTTGTTGAGAAAAAAAAATTCTTTTTAAAAAAACATGTTTACTTTTCATAAAAGTTTTTGGAAAAATATATTGGAAAAATTGAATTCAAGCCGACATCAAAATAAATTAATTTTATTAATTCTCAATGAATATTAAAGGACGTTATATTTTTCAATGGTTTTTACAATATCTAATAATTAAAGTTAGGAATTTAATGTTATGGTCGCAAAATAAAAGTTTTAGCATGAAGAATGGACGACAAAATATCAAACTTTGATCATAAATTGACAATTTAATTGTTTATTACAAATCTTTTTTTTCCTAATAATTTTTTCGCCCAAGGCATAGAAATAAATTTTCCAATTTTTAACATTCGTTTTAAATATAAACTACTAATTTATTCAAAAAGTTTTCGACTTCATTAGATTTTATTTTGCATTGGTTTGATAAACAACCACTCCGACAGAATTATTATTTTATTAAAATAGTCAAAACTTTTTCAATAAACGCCCGCTCTAGCCATGTTTGCGACATTACTAAGGAAAGAGGCGTGAAGTTCCGAGATGTTCTGTGATTAGACCGTAAAGACTTTTTGGAACACTTTAGTAACTTCACACACAGACACACACACACACACACACACAGAGGTTTGTTTTTCTCATTTTGAGATATTTTTAATGCTTGTTGTGTGGCGTATCGTGTCTTAATTTTAAACCGATTTAAAAAATTATTGTTATAAAAATTAAAGTCAGTAGTTTAATAATTACCTGATTATGTTTCTTTTTGATAAGCTACCACTAACTTTAAAATCTTCAATCACAAAATCATCTAAATGATACTTTCGAAGATCTGATGTCAAATAACTTCGCTTTTTGTCTAACAAGCTAACAAGAAAGCCGGATCTTATTGAGCTTGGCTTGCTTGTTATTACAAACTCTTCATAAATAGACGTTAAGGAGATAGGTACAGAAGTATTTCCTAATTTACAATCCCCTTTGGCTACAAAATCCCACTTAGACATTTCATCACGTGTCAGAATTGCTTCAACATCGCTAAGGACCATTAATGATCCTATTTTCATATTTTGAGGAGATTTGAAGTTAACAGTTATAGATTTTTTATCAACATTGTTTATGTCATAAGACATTATTTGAAACTGGGTTTCACCAATACTCAATGTGTTTCTCGGTAATGTCATTTCCTGACCACGTTGGGAAAATAATTCTGGAATACTTCCTAAGTTTATTTTCAAACTCTCTGGGAAATCTATGTGAATTTTATTTCCCTTTACCTCCATGTTAACTAGAATGTCTTCAGGGTATGTTTGGTTACTTATAAACTTGCTTAGAGATTCAAATACAATTTTCTGAATTGGAAGTTTTGCTTTCACTGTAAGACCTTTACGTATTGTTCGCCCTGAGCTAAACAGCGTACCTACTTCTTTATTGAAATTCTCATCTTTTACTACAAAAAGTCCATCGGGGGAAATTCCAACAGCCATATCTGTTTTTATATCGCTAAACAATGGAATATTTGAGAGATCTAAATTCAAAATGGCTGACAAAGATGAACGGTACATTGCACCTTCAAAACTGGCAATCAAACCTGAAACCACTTTTCCTAAACGTGGTTTTTGTATAATTAAATACACCCAAGGCTGAGAGGGGAAAATTGATGCAGGACTTTTTGCTGATGCTACAAACTCAAAAGCTCCACCGCTGTCATAAAGTCCAGTTATACGAGGGTTGCGCAATGAAGATGATGAAAGTGTTAAAAGATCTGGTGGTAAATCCTGCTGTGAAATTTCTGATTCAGTAAACAGTTTTGTAAACTCAGGAATTTCTAGGTCTGCAGTATTCATCTCTATTTTAAACAATGTGGTACCAAATGGTTTTTCAGCAAAAACATTGAGACGACGATTTCGATAATCTAGATTTAATAAGCCATTGATTTTTAAATTGAAATTAATCATTGACTTAGGTTGCTGTTCATAGCTAAAATTAACCATTAGTTTGCTTGAAATTGTTCGTAATCTATTAGGAATTATATCAAGTAGCTCTCTACATAATAAATTAAAAGACACTCTTCCCTGACATCTATCAATATCAAATTCTTTTACATCAAATTTACCATGCACTATAAGTTCATTTGACGCAGCAGCAAGTTCTATAGCTGGAAGTAGACGAGTCATTACTGCAGTAAACGAAGCTTTTCCCCCACATGTATCTGGATTAATTTGCATTTTAGTGGCACAAACATTTGATGTTGCTTCGATGAAACAGTCGTGAAGTTTGAAAACTTGACGATTGAAATTTCCAGATATAATTTCATGTATTTCTGGAAGTTCGGTGATATCTGTAAAATATGATTATTATAATTAAATTATTACCACTGCTACTGTTGTTATTTGTTATTGTTATTGTTGTTGTTGTTGTTGTTTTTGTTGCTGTTGTTGTTGTTGTTTGTTGTTGTTGTTGTTGTTGTCGTTGTTGTTGTTATTTATATTATTTTTACATATAATATTATTGTTATCATTATCATTATTATTATTAATACTATTATTATTATATTTTTGAATCTTATTTTTTGTAAAAAAAGGATTACCTCTTTTATGATCAGAAGGTGTTACAAGTGATACAGATGTTTTTTGTTCACCAAGTGTTTCAGCAATGACAGTTGTTTTGTCTAAATTAGGTTCTTTTCTTTTTGACGGACGATTGTGATCAGCTTTTACTATTATAGTTTCTTTAGATTTGTTCTCACCCATTGACTCATTGTGCTTTTCTATTTTATTCACTTCAATATTTTCATCGTGAAGAAATTCAGTTTTTTCTTCTTCTTTAAATTTCAGAGCATGATGTACTTGTTCTTTAATTAGAGATGAAGGACTTTTAGATGAAGATGGCGCTGCCTGTAAGTTGTTTATTTTTATTGTGTTATTTTTTATTTCAATTGGTTGGTTTTTACTAGTTGAATGTTTTATTTCATGAGAAGTTATTTTTGAAACAGACAAAATATTTGAATCACCATTTAATATTTTAGAAAAAGGAACTTTCACTAAATGTTTATCGTCTTTTTTTGTCGGGTTTGAAAAACTTGTCGGTTTTTCAAGTTTTAGTTTACTAGTTTCTTTTTCATGTTCAATTTTTAAAAGTGGATTTTGCGGTTCTAATAAATTTACCGACCATTCAGTCCACGCAGTGACTTGATGTTTTTTATCGTTATCTTTTCCCGGAGAAGATGAATTAGTAGAAGAATGCAAGGACGATTGCGGACTAATTATAAATTGTGAAATTCCTTCAGTAGGTTTAAAGTTAAAGTATTCATTTTTCCCATGAGCATCTTTTTTGTCCAGATTTTTTATTTTAATAGTATTCAATTTTTTTAAAGGACGGTCATGCTTTTGCGTTTCATATTTAATAGTTTCAGGAACACTCCATGCGTTAGCTATTTCTATAAAACAAAATTAAAAAATAATTTAATTAATTAAACAACTAAAAATGCGTAAAAATAGTAACAAAACAAACAATATGCAATACCAGCGCGTTTTTCGTGATGACTGGAGTGTTTCTTTTTATGCGTTATTGCGCTAACATAGTCATTGTAAAGATCATTGAGTGTCCAACACGATACGCCACACAACAAGCATGAAACACCATACAAAATTAAAATTTTATTTTTCATTGTTTACTCCACATATTCAATCAAAATTGATGAAAGTCTTGAAATATCAATTAAATTGTTGAGGACAGTTACGGCGTATCGTTGAAAGTAAACTATTTAATTAAGTTACAACATTAAAAACTGACAATACATACATTACATATCATATATTTAAAAATAAATATCACAAAATAAAAATATTGTAAATAAAAAACGTAGACATGTGTTTATAATTTATATAAAATATGAAATTTTCGACAATATACTTAACTATATGCAAGTAATCAAATAATAAACACACTAGCTGTATGAACACTATTTTAACTTAATGATGCGTGTGAGTAGGAGGGGAGAAAGTAAAAATAATGAATTTGAAAAATAATTTTATAAATGCTTTTAATTAAGAATTATAAATATTTTATCTTTATTTTTAATTTTTAAATTTATAATTATATTTTATTTGATTTTATTATCTTTATTATTTGTTATTATTGTTTTCTATTTATTGATTAAAAAAATCTATTTTACGTTAATGATTCGTAAAACGCTTTGTTACTGTTTTGCCGACACTGTACTTTATTAGATTACTAATTCAAATAAAAATCAGAAACATTTACAACATACTTTTTTACCGATTAATTTTAGTTTGTTATTATCTAAGCTTTTGGGTACAAATTGATTATTTATAATTACTTTTTTTAAAAACTATTTCGACGTTCTAAACGAGACATGTTAAACTCGCAACTTGCCTAAGCTGCATACGGTTTTTTGGACCTTTTATGACGGTCTTCAACAACTTTATTATATATGAAGGCGCACCATAACCTAGGTTACGCCCCAACTCGCATTACTATGTTTTTTTTGTTTTGAATTATTTTGAAATTGTTTTATTACTACCACAAAAATCAAGATGTCCCAAATTAAAGTGTCTCAAAAAAATGTTTCAAAATAAAGTGCAAACAGTGAATTAATGCAAAGATAATTTTTTTCGATCAAAATTATAATTGAAAAAGTTATAATTTCTATTTTACAAATCAGACAAGTTTTTAACAAATCAGGCAAGTTTTGCTTTTGTTCACACAAGTGTGTGTAAAAGTATTTGTCATATTTTTCAATAAAAATTTGTGAATTTTATAACACGAGACACTATGAAACTGAAAAGGAAAATCTTAAAATTTATGAAAAATAATATTTTAAAAACAAGAGAAGTAAATTGAAAAAAAAAAGTAAATTGAAAACTAATCAAAAAAAGCAACAAAATTTTTTTTAATTTTATTAAAAAATTCAAATAGCGCAAGAAATAATAAGGGGGTGACGTATTTGTGGAGAGATAATTTTTTGTAAATATGAAAATTAAAATGTAATATATCAATTAACTTATCTCTAAGACTCAAAAATAATGTTCTTTAAGTTCACTATCAGGGGTAGTAAAAAAGTTTTGAAAATTATATAAGTTTCTTTAAACATTACAAAAACTAAAAAACAAAAAAACAAAAAATTATAACATCAAAAGCTCTTTTTTGGACATAATACTCTGAGAAAATCATGCTAGTTCCAAAGTGTTAAGTGTTATGGCTCAGAACCACGAGGTCCAAGGTTCGACGCCGGTTCTAGCCTAACTAGCAACATTGGTAAGGAAGGAGGTGTGAACTACCTAATTAAATGCTCTGCCGCGGTGCTCTCTGATTAGGCCATAAAGACTTCTTGGAGCACCTTTATAACTCCCCTCCCCCCAAAAAAAAAAAATTATAAAACAAAAAAATACATGCATATACAATATACATGCATATACAATAATTGAAATAGCTGCACCAAGAAAAAGTGATAAGATATAATGTCTTATCACTGAGCACCATTTTTATAAAATTTTAATTTACACTTATTTTATTATAATGACTAGATTAATAAATTAGATTAGATTAGATTAATAAACTAGAAGATAATTGTATTGATTTGAATAAGTGTTAATACATAAAGTAGAAAATAGTAATTGCTAAATTTTCTGCAGTAGCAAAAAAAAACAAATAAATATTATGCACAAACGCATACCATCCTAAGAGAGAGGTAATAAACTTTGTTATATAGACTTTGATAATTTTATACTTTTTATTAAATTTTTGTTAATTTTTATATTTGAGTTTAATTTTATTTAAAAGAAACATTTAAAACATAGTGCAATCTTCTATAAATAAAAAGAATCGTTTAGGTTCCTTTTTAAACAGGTCTAGAGATGTTATCTTTTTGTTAACTACGTCTGAAAATGTTTTCTAAAGATATGGTCCACGATAATTAATTGAGTATGAGTTCAGTTTCAAACTATATTTTGGAACAACAAAGTTGTTTTTTGAGAATCTTGTAGTGTAGATTTCTGAAGTTTGATGTAAATTGATTTTATAAATATTTAATGCTTTAAGTAAACACAGGAGAGGTTAAATGATGGATAATTGATTTACTACGGAAGTGATCGGACGTGCTTTTCTTGCGCTGTAAATTTTTAATAAAATTGTTTGAACTTAATTTTTAAAATTTTTGTTATAACTGGTATTTAACTTTTAACTGGTATTTTGTTTATAACTGGTATTTAACTTGAGATTGAAAATGAGTTCAAAACAAATCACTGACGTCTCGATAAAATTAGTTAGGGAACTTTTTCAAGAAATGTTCCAAAAACAACAAAATGATATACTATCGTTAATAAGTGCAAATTTAAAACTGACTAATGATCGAATCGATGGATTGCTGAAAGAAATTAGTACATTAAAAGAAACTTGTGAAATGTTAAAAAAAGATAACGTAAACCGAAATGCCGATCAAAATAAAACTAACAAGCAGTTGATAAAGTTTGAAAAAACACAAAAAGACATTGAGGAAAGTCTAACGTTTTATCAAGATTGCAATGACAAAAAAATGAGCGAGTTGGAAAAAAAAAAGTCATCGAATGCAAATATAGGTGAGAATGAAAAAAATAAATTTAGACAGCTGGAAGATCGACAAAGGCGATATAATCTTCGAATTGAAGGAGTTAAAGTAAATGACAACGAAAGTTGGGATGATAGGGAAAAAATAATAATAAACATTTTTGAAAATAATCTCAATGTAAATGGGGTAATCATAGAAAGAGCGCATAGAACTGGCATTATTGAAAAAAAAAATCCAAGAACAATTGTAATTAAGTTACTTAACCATAAAGACAAAGTAAAAATCCTAAAAAATGCCAATAAACTGAAAGGATCCGGAATTTATATCAACGAGGATTTTTCGCTGGAAACTTCCACAATAAGAAAGAAACTTCTTGAAGAAAGCAAATTGCACAGGATAAATGGTAAGTATTCCGTTGTTATATACGATAAGCTTATTGTTAGAGAATTTATAAAAAAAAAATAATGATAAATGATTTTCTTACGTTTTTATATTACTTTTTTGAATTTTAATATTGCTTTAAGTTATTTCTGATTTAAAATGGCTGATGAAACTGTTTTAACAAACATAAATTTTAATTCATTTGTATCAAAAAAGTCAATACTATTAAACAACTATTCGGATCCTGATATTAATTTTTATAATAATGATGAAATAATTAAAAATATTAACCCTTTATATTATGACCCAAATTCTAAAAAAATTGCTAATGGAATGGAGGATAACTATTTTTCAATGCTTCATATTAATATTAGAAGTATTCAAAAAAATTTTGAGTCATTAAAACAACTTTTATATAAAATTGGCATTAAATTTCAAATAAATTGTCTAAGTGAGACATGGTGTAAAGATAAAAACATTGAAAACAATTCTAATTTTCAATTACCTAATTATAAAGTAATTCATCAAATTAGAGCATCTAATAAGGAAGGTGGGGGTTTGTGTATATACATAAAAAACTCAATATTATTCAAAGTTAAACCAAATTTAAGTTCAACTACTAACGATTATGAATCGTTATGTATTGAAATTATTAACAAAACCTCAAAAAATATCGTCATTCATGGTCTATACAGACCGCCTTCAGGAAGCATTAAGGTATTTGAAAACCACATTAAAAAAATAATTAAAAATAAATCGTCTATGAATAAAGCTGTATATTTTATTGGTGATATCAATCTCAATATATTAGATTATGAAAAAAATATATATATTAAAAACTTTTTTAACACCATTTTTCAAAATAACTATATTCCACTAATCAATAAACCAACGCGAATAACTAAGGAAAGTTCAACATCCCTAGATCAAATTATAACAAATGAATTTATAAATAAAAATATAAGAACAGGAATATTTAAAACTGACGTGTCTGATCACTTTCCGATTTTTATCCTATCGCAAAAATGCATATATAATGCCCAAAATGAACGGGAAAAAATAATTAAAACACGTTTAATAACCGACAATTCTATTAGTCATTTTTATAAGCTTCTATCCTGTGTTAACTGGGACACCCTAAAACTAAATCTAAACGCCAATAAAGCGTATGATATTTTCCTAACAGAGTTTCTTAATCTTTATAACAAGGCATTCCCAGAAGTTACTAAAGTAATCAAAACAAAAATACTTTTAAACCCTTGGATCACGAAGGGCATTCTTAAATCTTCAAAAAAAAAACAACGCTTATATAACAAGTTTCTTAAAAAAAGAACTCTTAAAAATGAAACTACCTATAAAAACTATAAACGGCTATTTGAGTCAATCTTAAAACGCTCAAAGAAACGTTACTATTCTGAACAATTAATAAAGCACAAAAATGATTCTAAAAAAACTTGGCATATTATTAAGGAGGTAATTGGAAAAAAAAGCTTATACAGAAATTTACTTCCTCTAAATCTTAAATTTAATAACAAACAAATTGTAAATAAATCCTTAGTCGCTGAAACACTTAACCAGTTTTTTGTAAATATAGGTCCTACTTTATCATCTAATATAGCAACTACTCAATCACACTTTAGTTCGTACTTAACCTCAACCAACCTTAATGTTATGTCTAATTATAAACTTACAGAAAAAGAATTACTAGACGCAGTCTCTTTATTAAAACCCAATAAAAGTTTAGGATTTGATGATATAAGTTGTAATGTCATAATCAAATCAATAAAACAAATTACAATTCCATTACTACATATTTTTAATTTATCTCTAAAACAAGGCGT